AGAAAAATCAGGATACAGAATATAAATTTTGATGATTTGCGTATTTAATATAAGTTCCAGAAGAAAAATACTGAAAAGATTATTTTTGCTTTAATCCCAATGTGGTAAGAAAGTAAGAAAAGTTCATTGGCACAGATATCTGGAGGTATTTTAAAATTTCATTTAGCTTTGGTGGCAAAGTGTGTTTTGCTAACCATATGAATACAGTTCCTTTTTCAATGCAGAGCTTTATGCTAAAAAAAATTCAAATGTGTTTTTTTCCCCTAAAAAAAGGGATGTAAAAAGTCCAATATGAAACAAAACAAGTACAACATGAAATACAAAACATGCCTATCATTTAGGCTTTTGAACAATAGTTCTATGCTTTGTCTATAAATCTTTTACTAGTAACATTTCTACTATATAAATACTAAAAACCAAAATAACACTAAAAAATTAGCATATGAACTTTACAAAAATGGCTACTTCTAGAGTTCTTAAACTAGGATTAGGGTTCACATATGCAAACACATTTGCACTAACTAATCAAACTACATCAACAAATACAGTTTTTCAGAAGTGTTCCAAGTTACAATGTACAGAATGAGCACAGAATAAATCTGACTCATATATATCAAGTCCCATACAAAGTCATTAGAAATTAACTGGTTACTTGGTATTTCAAAACAGTCATTTTTGGCAGCATGACATGCGAAACACTTTTAGAAAGTATTGCACTTGATTGAAAAAATTTCAGCTAGAGACAATGTAATCAAGATGTATCAATAGCTTAGAATATCATCTAACTTTTAAACTGATGTTACCAATTCAGGTGTATTGCTACATTTCTACTATAAATGAAATAACAGTTTATTCTATTTCCAAATTTTGTTCCCTTCTTCAGACTAAGTTACTAATATATAAAATTCAGTCATCTGTAATCATAATATAATTTATAAAAAATGTGAATTCTTGAGCATTTAGAGTACACATACTCAGATTTGGATTACTGATTTGACTTTTCTTTCCTATTATTCTTATTAAAAGTAAAGAACATAAGTAGCCTTACAAGTTTTCTATTTCCTCAGGCTGTTAAAATATACTGTGAAAGAATGCATGAGTAATAACGTATTAAGCAAAAGTTCATTACAGAACTTGAAATGTCCTTTGTTCAAAAAGACTGGGATAAAATTTCAGCTACTAATCATCTTAGCATTTTGTAAAAGTATCTTTCTTCTACATTTACCTTACATGGCAAGAAGTTTTCTGTCTGGGTCTAATTTCATAACACAAAGACTTTTATTGCTTCTTTTATTCCTGGGGAGTGCTATACTCTTCAAATTGACCCCCCCCAAAAAAACTTCACAAGGTTATCTTTTTTCCTATAATTTCATAAATCTAAAACACAGAGAAAACACAAAGTGATGATAAAAAATAATCAACAAATACCTTAGTCACAGAAGTCCCTACACACTAAATAAATTCTTCCCAACTAGTTTTAATAACAAGTTACTAAAAAATCGCAAATGTGGCACTGTAAGGTTTTGCTCTAAACCTCACAATAAAGCAAGATATTACATTAATTTACACCTAATTCTTAAGATGAAAATACAGGCCAATTGAATGGTCTGGGATTCAGGAAGCAACAGTTCTAGCTTACCTCATCATCTCTGTGTTTTCCTATTTCTCCAGAGCTTTCAAGAATAAACTGAAAACTGAGTTTTACCTTTAGTTGTTTTATTTCCCTTGACCACCTTCTGTAAGAGATGCTAATCAACAATGAGGTGAAAAGAATACACTATGCTGTAAGTGAAAAATCTGAAGAGTTAAGAATGGGAACTAGATAGATAATGAACAAATCAGATAATCTGTCTCATGAAAGTATGTGTATGTGGTGAAAATGTGTAGCATCTGCATGAGTGGCAGGATAATCAACAAAAAACATTTACTAGGCCTATTATAGTTCTTTATTTCTTTTCCTTACTGTATAATCATGCAGATATTATAGTGTAGCTCAAATGAGAAGTACTCCATTATATACCTAGGAACTTATCTGACTGAAATATTAAAAAAATTAAAAAAAATGAAAGATTAATCAATACATGTTCAATATATACTGAAGAGACACAAGTCAGTGTTAATCAGGCACAAATGGTTTTTTTTTTTTTTTTAGGACTAGTGTTTTAAATACTTTCATTCTGGTGAGAATCAAGAAAAGAGCTAGCAGAAATGGTGTAATTTCCAACATGAAAAAGATAAAGAAAAAAGTGTAAATAATTTCTATCATATTATCTGTTCCAAATTATAATAGCAGTAACTCCAGAGGAGTCTTTATAAACACTGAAAATACTCAGTGTTTGTCCTGTCCAGGCTATATCTTATCTAGGTATCAACAATAGGGTCTAGGAGTAATTTTTATAAGTTAAAAACTCAAAAAAATCTAAATAAAGATGTTAAAACAACAAAGCTCAGAAGTTTTCTAAATGAGACAATCCCTAACTGCCAATGAAGTTTCATTTTTAGTAACATTTCTGATAAACCTGTGCTGTTTTGCCAGCTAATAATATACATCTTAGGTATGACTGGAAGAATGTGTAATTTAAAGACAAAGGGCTTTCCTTTTCTCAAGCAATAGAAACATTAGTTTTACTAATCTTCAGAAAGAGCCTACCTTCTCATGGGTTTAAATTAGGACTTGATGAAGACCCTGTGAAAATGAGAGAGAGAGAGAGAGAGAGAGAGAGAGAGTGTGTGTGTGTGTATTATGCATAAGAACCCAAACTACTGTTGTTTATACATGCTTAATTAGAATCCTTTCTGTGGTCCTCAAATGAAGTATTTTGTTGGAATAGGACTTTAGGACTACATGGTAACTACACTCACGTGAAAATATTTTCATGAAAATTAGTGTGCCCAGTCTGCTGCTTTAAAAGCTAACACACTACCCACAAATGAGAAATTTAAGCTTGTTACATTTTACCGATGCGCAGCAATGACTAAACAAGGAGACTTTAGATCACATAAACACAATCATTATAGCTGTCAATTGTGATGAAAGTACAGGCCAAATTAGAAGATTTTAATTAATGAATTTGCTTAGGTTCTGTATATGGAACTAAGTTCAGATTTAGAAATATTTAAATGACATATTTAACCGGTAACTTGAAATACAACTACACCTGAGTGAAAAAACAAAAGACATCTTATGTGCAAAAGTTGTTACAAGCATGTGTATAGCTAAACCTAGGCATATGCATCCTTGTTTAAATATGTATGTGACATGTCATGGGAAAGTGTACTCTTTCCTTTCAGGTTTGAACACACAAGCATCTTGTATTTTAATCCCTTTTGCTACTTTTAGCAAACAAACAAGAGCCTGGTATGCCTGCCATGTCTACTATGAGGTTATCACTCGCTTTTTTTCTTTTTTTTTTTTTCACTTCCCTTTAATGATCTCAGCAAGTGAAAATATGAATACTGAACATAATGCTGAGAAAGAAAACAATAGAATAAAAAAACTTATAACTCTCAGAGATGACAGCAAGATCCTCTTCAACTGATGATAAAACGGTAACGGAGGAACAACTGAGAAAAGAAATGAGGTAATCCTCTACATGCAGTAAAATGGGGGTGACTCTCTAATAGGCAGTAACAGCTGAGAGGCCGTAATGGAATTCAGTTGCAAGGGCAGGTAAAATGAACCTGGTACTCTTGGACATTCCTTGGCACTAACAAGGACACAAGTTCACAAGTGCAACTGTGAAGTTACTGGAACATACTTGAAAGGTTTTGGGTATTTACAGCATACACATCGGAAGGAAGGACTCTCTCACCCAGGTATACCCCAGCCTGAGTTATATCTGCTTTCTAAAAATGAGCTGAAATCTGAAATGAAATGTAAATGTTACTCTTATCTGTCAAATAGTAATTACCTTGGCAAATTAAGATTCTACTATTAAACCTAGTGACTAAATACTCCAACTTATTTAGGTATATTGTTTATACTTATGCTATTAATGGGTAACAGTTTTCCACTGCTATTCCATTAATAGTTTAATTCTACATATTAAATGTAGTGCTGCATTTGATCATGCTGATTTTTTTTCCTATAGGAGACTAAAACTGAGTAAATGTAGAGTTTTTTTTCTGACTACTGGAATTTAGTTATTTTAATGACCCATCACGACCCGAGACACTTGACAATCATGGGGTTAATGAATTAAATAAAATGGTACAGACTGAATGACTAAACTGCTCCAATGCCTATAAATAAATATCTATGAGAATTTGCTTCAAATTTAGCAATACATCTCTTCAATAGTCTCCTGATAATCACTAAGAACACAAAATAAGGTTCTTATTTGAAAAGCAAGATTAAGTTTTTTTTTTATTAAGTTTTAAATTTGAATTATGTTTCCATTCACCAATCTTGCTTGGTTATCAAAAAACATGTCTCCTTTGAACTTAAAGCATATTTTCATAGATGTAAGAAAACAAAAGATCTATTTTGTTCACTCTGACAAAAACTAAAGATTGTGGCTATTTTATTTCTGATAAAGCAGTTTAAATTTCATTATCTTTTAAGACTTATTTTTCAATATATATAATGTAGCAAATACAAAGTAACCCACTTCTCAGAAGAAAGCTTGATGAAATGAGCAGAATGTTTGAGGTGATGAGACAAAAAACAACGCTACATTTACTGAGTGTTTAGGAGAAGATCCTGGCATGGCCAATCAAGCAGACTAGCCATGCAGAGGAGTCCTCAAAGACAGTGGCCACCATATCCTTTGACTAATTTTTCAAAAATGACTAGTACATAGATGTCATACCACAAAACAAAACCATGCTTCAACTACTTTCCTCAAGCATTACAAAACTAATTTCCTATCTTCAACATTGTAAAAATAGACTTGTTTTCTCCAAAGGATCTTGCTATCGACACTGATGGATCTGTGTTGTTCCCACTTAATACTGGCCCTAAAGGCATAAATTATCTTTATCATTCCTCAAATCCAATCTTACATAAAGTTGCATAATGCATGGAGTAAAAGAGGAATGAAGACAAAACATGGAACCCTGTATAAGTGTGATGACCCAAAAGCAATCACACCAACAGCCAGAGGAAGTGGAAACTGTGAAGTAGTCTTCAATAATTTACTGTAAAGAGACAGAAATATACATGATAATGTTAACTTACTCAGTGAACAAAAGCTGAATATAGCAATCTTTTATACAGTTTTGTAAAGTATTCTATGTGATTTTAGATAAAGTAATTTTTCACATAAAGACTTTAACAGTCCATATTTTTTAAAAAATAATAAATTTTGGCTGGAAAAGAGAAAATTATTCTATTAAGTAAATAACCAGTATTGCTTATTCTTTTAAATTTTAAGCACAAAAAAATACTAGTTGAACTTATATTCAGCAATTTGACTTCTTAAGAGTTTTATCTTAATAAAAAAAATCAATAATGTTTACTAAGATATAGCTACAGAAATATTTAGTTTCAACCTATTTAATATCAGCAAAAAGCTTCAACCAAAAAAAAAAAATCTTTAATTCCTAACAGGAGCATATAAGACAAGACACTAAATATTAAAAAAATACTATCAAGAAAGACTGTCACCTTTTTACTCTGAAAACAGAGAAACTGAGGGATTAAGAAATTTACCAAAGGACACAAAGCCTTAGATTTAAACCCTAGATCCGCCTTATTTTAGAATACCTGCAACTATCTGCCAGAATCAACTGAAAACACTCTCCGAGCAAATAAGCAATCAATGAAAGGTAAAATTTTATTATGGAAAATCTTAAATATATATATAAGTAGATTAACAGTACAATGAACCTCAAGGACCCATCCCCCGGCTTTAGAAATTATCAAGTCATGGCCAATTCTACTTCATCTATATTACTACCTACTTTCAACTCCTGTATTTTCTTGGAAGCAAACTTAAATACCAAATATTTTAAGGATTAACTTTTTAAAGAAAAAAATTATTATATACTAACAAAACGCATAATTAAGAAAACATAATACATTTGCACATAAGCTGTATATTTCCATATAAACCTAACTACTATTAAGGGATCACCTTTAGTATTGTCCATGTAATTAGGAACAAAAGGTATGTTCCAGACATAAAAGAATACCAGGAATAGATGAGAAAAAAATAAAGATTAAAAGACTATACCTTGACTTTATTGAAGTAGTGTAAGTATTTCCAAGAACTGCCATGGTTGGAATAAGGAAAAATGCCAAAGGTTTGCATGGATCAGGATTAAGTTTAAAGTAATACCTAGATCAGAAAGAAAAAAAAAAAAAACATAAATCAACAAAGCATAGCCCATCATTTTAAATGATCAGAATCAATAAATAAATTTCAAAACTTTACAATTACAATGTGGATATAAGAAAGTTCTAAATTGCTCAAGAAATCATTGATAAATAAATTTTGCTCTACATCATCTTTATATTCAAGGTTTTAGATGGAGAATTATGTTCAGAAGCTACTAAAGGAAATGAAAATATCCAATATGGAAGCACTTCCTTTCTGTAAGTATATGCCTGAAAGGTCATATAGAGATAATATTTCATAAAACAAATTATTTAAAATATATTTAAATTGTTCTATTTAAATATGATAAAAAAATAAAAGTTTACACAAAGTAACTGTCCCTTATTTTTTCTTTAAATTTATTGTCCCTTATTTTTTAAAATCCAAATTCTCATCTCTTGAATTGAGTGAGATACCTACAGCCTTTCAGAATCATAAATTTGTGCTCCTGAAGTGGTTTTCTCCCCAAATCTCTGATCAAAAATCTGGACCTTGACTAAAGTAAGGGACTTATTACTAAGTCACTTCAGTCGTGTCTGACTCTTTGCATCCCTATGGACCATAACTTGCCAGGCTCCTCTGTCCAAGGGATTTTCTAGGCAAGAAAACTGGATTGGGTTGCCATATCCTCCTCAGGGGAATCTTCCTAACTCAGGGATCGAACCTGCATCTTTTAAGTCTCCTGCATTAGCAAACAAGTATTTTACTAACACTACCTGGGAAGCCCAAAATAAGGGACAGAGGAAGGATATTAACATCTGGTAACCAGTGATTTAATTTATTGAACTTGTTTTGATTCATCTGACTTTAAAAAAAAAAAACCACCTCCAATATGTAGATAATTTGAAAATTTTACATCATTTCTAAAATCTATATTAGTCAGGAATTCACTATTAACTGAATAAGGGAGTTTTTTTTAAAAGACAATTTACTAAAAACTAAATATTCTAGAAATAACCTTAGAGGAATTTTTAGGCTTCATTTAACCTAGGACACAAATGACAGTTTTCAGTAGTGAAATGCCTGATGTGTAGGACACATCAGAAAAGTACACACTTCCTTCATTATTTCTGTTATTTTAAATGTAGCATTTATCCTCCCCTCAATATAAAATTGATCATAAGTAGAAAAATTAAAGCACTAACATTATGAATACCTTAAGTCAGCAAAATAAAGCACATTTTTCACATATTTCTAGACTCAAAAAAGGTTAAAGGAAAAGTAAAAAAATAGAATTCCCCCCTATTGGGCAGATTTTAGGGAAGTTTATATTCTGATGGAAAAAAAGAAAATGTGAATATGCTAAAAATAAATTTCAGGTGAAAGCTTCTTGTTCTTGACAAAGTTTTATGAATCATTAGGAATCTTGCAAGTCTCTATTTACAGATATTTATCACTTAAACACATAAATTATAACTATATAAATAAATCTTACCTAAGATTCTTTAGCCAATAAATTAAAGATGGCATGCTGAGTAATACAATCCATGTTAATAAGTTAATCAAAGTACTGTGCATGCAAAGACTATCTTCAGCATCACTGGCAGATAAACGGAGATGGTGTACTGCAGAGTCTTTATGGTGATTGGATTTTTTTTCACTTCTTCTCGAGTGTTTGGGATTCTATAAAGCAATAAAGCAAAAACATTGAGATATTAAGTAAAATTATGTACTCGATTTAGAATCATACTCAATTATCGAAGAGCTGAATAAATACAGTTTTTCATTACCAAACTGATACGAAATACTGAAAATCTTATTTGAAAGTATTTTAAAACAGTTGTCAGTTATAAAACTTATTCCATTGACTTGCTATTTCCACTGCTAAAACTATATCCTCTTAAGTAATTACTTGAAATAAAATTTAAGAGATAATTTTGGTAACAAAAACAACTTAAGTACTAACATCAAATTAAATGACAATCTCTGTCTTATTTTAATATTCATTAGGTTCAATTTTCTTAAAGCTATTTAAATTCTTAATACCTTCTAAATATTGTAAAATTCTAACTTAAAAAAAAAAATAAACTTTTATGTTTTTCCATGTTCTATAGAGTTATGAAAATAAAACTTACCACAGTCTGGCTGTTTTTAAAAGTTGTTAGGCTGGCTTGCAGATGAACAATCTATGAAAAAGAAAAGACATTAATTTTACTTTTATTTTGAAACAAAAAAACAACCATTTTTATTGAAATTGAGAAGCATTATAATTTGAAATTTTAAAAATCTAAATAAATAAAAATCCATTTCAACATTTAAAAATATTCTTTTAGAAAAGATAAATAATAGTTACATGTGCTTGCTATCATGGATTAAAAATCAGAAACAAAATACAAAATCAGAGTATGTTGGGGCTAGTATATAATGTTACTCTTTCCACACTGTGACCCAATGCTTGAATGGTGCCTTGCTAATGCAACTTAAAATGTCATGTAAGCCAAAAATTTGATTATATTCAGCAGAGTATAAACATCTTAACAAATGTTATATAATCTAAATCTTTGAAAATCGAAACTCAATTATATAGGATGGTAAAATGTTTACAAGAACCTGGGAAAGTCTACAAATTTATTAGGTGTGCTTAAGTATTTCTTTTCTTTTTTTAAAAAATTTTGAACAAATTTATTTATTTTAATTGGAGGCTAATTAGTTTACAATATTGTAATGGTTTTTGCCATACACTGATATGAATCAGCCATGGATTTACATGTGTTCCCCATCCTGAACCCCCCTTCCACCTCCCTCCTCATGCCATCCCTCTGGGTCATCCCAGTGCACCAGCCCCGAGCACCCTGTCTCATGCATTGAACCTGGACTGGCGGTCTGTTTCACACTTGATAATATACATGTTTCAATGCCACTCTCCCAAATCATCCCACCCTAGCCTTCTCCCAGAGTCCAAAAGTCTGTTCTACACATCTGTGTCTCTTTTGCTGTCTCGCATATAGGGTTATCGTTGACATCTTTCTAAATTCCATATATATGCGTTAGTATACTGTATTGGTGTTTTCCTTTCTGGCTTACGTCACTCTGTATAACAGGCTCCAGTTTCATCCATCTCATTAGAACTGATTCAAATGTATTCTTTTTAATGGCTAAGTAATATTCCATTGTGTATATGTACCACAGCTGAGAAAGTTTTTCTTACTGTGTCAGTTGTTTGAAATATTCACCTAAAAAACTAAAAATATTGTATTTAGAAATCAAATTAACTTATATTTATAAATCAAAATAATTCTGAATAGTTTTTTCTGGTGGTCATACTTTTCCTTTGAAAACTGAAAGTAACCTATAATGGCATGTATTTAGTGATAAGTGTTAGTTGCCCAGTTGTGTCTGTCTCTTTGTGACCCCGTGGACTGCAGCCCATCAGGCTCCTCTGTCCATGGGATCTTCCTGACCCAGGGATGGAACCTGGGTCACCTGCATTGAGGGCAAATTCTTTATAGTCTGAGCCACCAGGGAAGCCCATTTGTAGTAAGTGCAGATACAAATAAGCTAGTAAAAAAAAAAAAAGGAAAAAAATTATTATCCTTTCTGATATCAACTAATTCTACATAAGGTTAATGTGGAGCTCATGCAACTATATAAACCTGAATTTTCCTGCAAAACTGTCAGTCTTTTTAGAAGCATTTTTCATTTCCTCAGTAAAATTACCAGCTTAATTATTTTTATGATCGTCTTACCATTCTTCAGCAACATATGTAACATTCTACATGTTTCAGCATGTTTCAACAACTTGATCCCATTGACATAACGATTTATTTTGTCTATTATCCATGTTCAAAGAAAAGTTATGAACAAACTGTTTTAGGAGAATGTTTTTCTTTTTGAAAACATTATTTCCCAAAGCATCAAGTAATGTAAAACAGAGTAGATCTCCTCCCCTCCCTTTGTTTTTAACAAAGAAACTCAATTCAGATTAGTAACTTCAGTTCTACAGTTAACTTCATATATCTGAAATAGTTAAGATGTTGAAAAAAAAAAACTTTACACATAAGCCTGTTATATAACAGAATGTTACTGCCACAGTGATTGAAAAAAAAAAATTTTAACACCTATGGGTAATTCTATGCCTGCTTGATACACAACTCAGGCGTTCTTGCTTTATTGATTTGACATACCTTAAACACATAGTAAAGATAAGTAAGAAGTATGGCAAAGGCGCCACAAGTTGTCCAGCTAATGAGGATCAAAACAGTTGTCAAAATGGGCAAGTCTGGTGATATTATCTTGATATCTTTAGGAAGTTCAGAGGGCCTGGAATAACAAGAATAAAGATTTTAAAAGCATAGTAACAGTTATTTAAACAGTCACAATTAAGGAAAAAACAGTATAGTGCTCTGACAGCTTCTCCTTATTAACCTGCAAGCATTAAAGTGAAAGTGAAGTCACTCAGTCGTGTCCAACTCCTTGTGACCCCATGGACTGCAGCCTATCAGGCTCTGCGGCCCATGGGATTTTCCAGGCAAGAATACTGCAGTGGGGAGCCATTCCCTTCTCCAGGGGATCTTCCCAACCCAGAGATCGAACCCAGGTCTCCTGCGCTGCAGGCAGATGCTTTACCGTCTGAGCCACCAGGCAGGCCCTAATCTGCGAGCATCACTATAAGGTAAACAGTAAAGCTTTTTAAAATAAAGATGATGGTGTCACATATTTTAAAATTCTATTATATACAGTGATAGTTTCTCTTGCATTTAGATATACTATGGATAATATCAGTACTAAAAGAGAAAAAATATCGTTAAAGATAATTATTACTTATAGGCTCTGTACCATATAATTCTGATCTTGACATGAAAAGAAATCGTTTTCTGTTTTTAAAGTCTCAAGGGCACTCAGACATCTCATCATGTTAATGTCAGAAGCACTTCAGAAGAAGTAAAGGAAGAAGTATCATGGGGAGAGTTAATTAACAGAAACTACATCACTGGTTTAACCTGAAAAACCTACCAGCAACTTCAAACCATGCCTTTGGATCATAGTAAAACTCTAGGCAATGCTTGTGGAACTCCTACACATGTCATCTAATCTGATTCTACATATCAAGATTGGAGTCTCTTGCCCTCAGGCTTGACTGAAAACCACCACTTAAATAATGCCAGAAAAAAAACACGTCCCCCTTGGAAAGATTTAAACGGTGAAATTTAAAAACACTCGGGCATTCTGTTAAACTTTCTCGATTTTTTGACCATCTTGAACACTATGGTCAAAATCGAATGTAGCATGTAACTTGCAATAAAGCATTATCTATGACAGAAACGCAAGTTTGAACACCAACCCCTTGCTCTGCTACTTATACATTTTTCCTTAGACATTATATTTCAGTGAAAGCAAATTAACCTTAAGGTTCTCTATCAGAATATGATTTTTTCTTACTTAAGAGCAATAACAAAGCTTTTAGTCACTCATTCTTTACCTTTTCAAAGCTAGCCACAATGAAGAAAGAAGTCTCACAGATGTAGAAGAGAGTAGGCCACCCCAGTAGGCAGTACATGTTCCAAACAGAAAAAGAATCAAAGATACAAGGGGGAAACACATACTCTGACTAGTTAAAACGATGGCATCTAATTCTGGTAACAGTAACATATCCCATAATTCTTTAAACCATTTATATCTGTGGATAAAAGGAAACAAACAAGAAATAAAAGCAAATGATTTAATAAAAGCAAAAAATCAACAACTCTCATTCAAGGATTTAGCATTTGAAGTGTTTGACCATTCACTAGAGTCCCCAAAGTTCCATGGTATTTAATTTGTAATTATCCTGAAAAAACAAACTTCAATTCCTTCTAAGGAACTAGTGAGTCTACTGATCTTCAAAGATCTGAGTCTTAAGTCTCAAAGCAGTTTTACTGCTCTCTATTAATCCTTGTATTGAAGTTATGTTTTTTTTCTTAAAGTTAGAAAGACAACAGCTAGTTATAACAACAGAAGAAAAGACATCTAAGTAATGCTTCTTAACCCTCCCCCTCCCCCCGCCAAAAATCAGAATAAACTAAGAATGCAGTGTTAAGTAGGATAAAGAGATCTAAAATATACTTTGTATGGGAAGTAATAAAAAGTGTCTGAGGCACTGTCTTGTCAGTATCTTATAGCACTGTGTGTTCATAAATCTGGGATACCCAAAGATCATGGGCTGTATACATTCTTTTGGAAATGTTAAAGTCCTGGTATATTTACAGATTAAGTTTACACTGTAATAACTACTTTTCAATAAATACTTTTGAAATGGTTAAACTACTGAAGTAAACATTGAAATGCTTATTTGGCCTTTGCCTAAGAGAAAAATTCCATTTACTAAAACAAGTCAATTGTCTTATTTGTATGAAAATTTATGCTCCATATTTGAGCCAAGCATAATATTGTATACATAAAACCAAATTAAAAATCATTATCACAGATACTAAAACTTACCCCAACAGAAACTTAACCATAATTACAAAAGGATCAACTTTGTATGGTTTGGCTTCTTTATCCAACATAGCAGCATATTCTAAACAATGACCTAGTGATTAAAAAAATATATATGTAGTAAAGAACTCACAGTAATTAAGTATGAGACATATTATATCCTGCATTGTTTACAAGAACACCATATTACATGTGAGAAAGCAAGAGTCTGTATTACTCTAATTTGAAATACAATCAAAACTACAATGAAGTACCACCTCATTCTGGTCAGAATGGCTCACTAAAAACTCCACAAATAGTAACTGCTAGAGAGGATGAAATGGAGAAGGAAATGACAACCCACTCCAGGATCCCTGCCTGGGAAATCTCACAGGCAAAGGAGCCCTGCAGGCTACAGTCCAGGGGGTCACAAAAGGAGCTGGACACGACTGAGTGGATGTGTACTGCAGAGAGGATGTGGAGGAAACAATATACCTTCTACACCGTTGATGGAAGTGGAAGTTGGTGCAGCCACTATAGAAAACAGTATGAGGTTCTTTAAAAACTAAAAATTGAACTACTCTATGATCCAGAATCATAGGCAGAATGTATGCAGGTCAAGAAGCAACAGTTCTAACAGGACATGGAACAACGAACTGGTTCCAAATTGGGAAAGGAGTACGTCAAGGCTGTATATTGTCACCCTGCTTATTTAACTTCCATGCAGAGCACATCATGAGAAACGCTGGGCTGGATGAAGCACAAGCTGGAATCAAGACTGCTGCAAGAAATATCAATAACCTCAGATATGCAGATGACACCACCCTTATGGCAGAAAGCGAAGAGGAACTAAAGAGCCTCTTGATGAAAGTGAAAGAGGAGAGTGAAAAAGCTGGCTTAAAATTTGACATTCAAAAAATGAAGATCATGGCATCTGGTCCCATCACTTCATGGCAAATAGATGGGAAACAATGGAAACAGTGACACACTATTTTCTTGGGCTCCAAAATCACTGCAGATGGTGACTACAGCCGTGAAATTAAAAGATGCTTACTCCTTGGAAGAAAAGCTATGACCAACTTAGACAGCATATTAAAAAGCAGAGACATTACTTTGTCAACAAAGGTCCATCTAGTCAAGGCTATGATTTTTCCAGGGGTCATGTATGGATGTGAGAGTTGGACTGTGAAGAAAGCTGAGCACTGAAGAACTGATGGTTTCAACTGTAGTGTTGGAGAAGACTCTTGAGAGTCCCTTGGACTGCAAGGAGATCCAAGCAGTCCATCCTAAAGGAGATCAGTCCTGGGTGTTCATTGGAAGGACTGATGCTGAAGCTGAAATTTCAATACTTTGGCCACCTGATGCGAAGAGCTGACTCATTTGAGAAGACCCTGATGCTGGGAAAGATTGAGGGCAGGAGGAGAAGGGGACAAGGGGGACAAGGGGACAAGGAGAGGATGAGATGGTTGGATGGCATCACCGACTCAGTGCACATGAGTTTGGGTGGACTCTGGGAGTTGGTGATGGACAGGGAAGCCTGGCAGGCTGCAGTTCATGGGGTTGCAAAGAGTTGGACACGACTAAGCAACTGAACTGAACTGAACTGAACTGAAACTAAGAAGAATGAGGTGTCTCTTTTAAAAAAATTATACTCAAGTATAGGAGATGTAATATTTCCAGAATAATCTTTTAATTAAAAGGTTGGATCTGACTAGATAACACTAAATGTTACTTCCTTCATCCTAGAAGATAGGCTAAATCAGGTTAAAATGAACAGTAAGTTCAGTTAGTAAGTAAAGTGAAGGAGGAGAGTGAAAAATGAACAGTAAAGGGAGACTTAAAAGTGGCAAACAGTCACTGAAAGGAAAGGAGTAGCTGTGAGAGGACTTGGCAATTCGGAAGTCGTTGGAGGGGTTTTGGACTGCCTTTGCATGCTTCGGCTCCACTCTGTTCCCTTCTCTCTTGTCTTCTTGGATTGCTACCGCCCAAGCCCAGCGAGCTCCTGGGAAACTGTTCTAACTGCTGTACTCTGTATGTGAAAGTCGCTCCGGCCCGTCCAACTCATGTGACCCCTTTGTGACCTCTGTAGCCCGCCAGGCTCCCCCATCCATGGGATTTTCCAGGCAAGAATACTGGAGCAGGTTGCCACTTCCTTCTCCAGGGGATCTTCCCGACCCAGGGATTGAACCCGGGTCTCCCACATTGCAGGTGGACTCGTTACCATCTGAACCACCAGGGAAGCCCTTTTTACTGTACTCTAGAAAGGTCTTTGTCCAATGTACAGTACAGTCTATGTTTTCTTCTCCAGATCCATTTTCTACCCTTTACTTTGCTCTGAATTCTGGGAGGCTGACTTCTATGAACTGGCTTCTATGAATTGACTTCTATGAACTGGGTTCAGTGAATGACAAGCACTGGCAGTTAGGAGGGGAGAAAGAAACAGAGTTAGTGCATTTGTTTCCCTGCCTTCTCCCTGCTGAGACCCACACGGACAGCAGCTGCAGCATTTCTGTGCCTAACGCTCAGGTGCAGTACTGTTATTTTTTCCTACAGCTCTCGAGGTTTGCTCCCTCCTTAGTCCTGGTATCGGATGGCTTTGTTGCTAATTTGGTATTTTATCATTTGTTGTGGGTTTCCCTTTTCCTTACACAAACCTTTGAAACAATTCCTTATATCAGTTATTCAATTCAATGTACCAGGACCTGATTGATATAGTTGATACAGTTCAGATATTATGCTGATTGCCAGCTATGTGCCTGGCCCCACATCAGGCACTGGGAATAGAATGGAGAACAAAAGCCACGTCAACGAGCTTCTATTTCTTAAAGAGATCCTCAGAACAGACAGAATAAACTTTAGACAAAAGGGTATAAAATGGAGAAAACAAGTAAGTAATTTTCCTGGGCACCTCTTAAAACTTAAAGAGGATCTCAAACTCCTGTGAACTTGAGAGAGAAGGGTTGTGAAATCTTCAAGAAACTTATGTTGACATGTACACACTGCTTTATTTAAAATAGATAACCAACAAGGACCTACTGAATAGCACAGGGAACTCTGCTCAATATTATGTAACAACTTAATGGGAAAAGAATTTGCAAAATAGCTACATATATATGTATAACTGAACCACTTTGATGTATACCTGAAACTAACACATCATTGTTAATCAACTTTACCCCAATAAAAACAAGGAAATTGATGTGTCCTCATTAGCTACATATGGGATAAAAAAATTAGTAAAGAAGTACTAGGGAAGGAATAGAGTGAGAGAGGAATAGAAACATTCTTACCTGTTGAGAAAAGAGAGTATAACTGTCCTCCATAAGCAAGAAGGATACTAGATATGACATAAGCAGGAAGCGCTCCACCATGAAATCTAACTACCTGGAAAACAGACAAAAGTGAAATTTCTGAATGTTACTGTTAATGACATAAGTATATTTTCACATGAAATAAACCTGCTGTTCTCCACTTTATACATTTTCTGACACGACCACAAAGATATCTCCAGTAATGGGCACAAAAATTCTATGTAAAATAAATGCAAGAATATATGGTATATCAGAAATGTTTATCTAAATTTTTATCAAATGCATAAACATAAAAGAGATAATATATAATTGAGTAGCATATGTTGCAAACTTTTTTATAAGATATGCTTATTAAGAAAATCAGGAAAGGAGTACATCAAGGCTATGTATATTGTCACCTTGCTTATTTAACTTATATGCAGTGTATATCATGCGAAATGCTGGGCTGGATGAAACACAAGCTGGAATCAAGATTGCTGGGAGAAATATCAATAACCTCAGATATGCAGATGACACCACCCTTATGGCAGAAAGCAAAGAGGAACTAAAGAGCCTCTTGAAAGTGAAAGAGGAGTGTGAAAAAGTTGACCTAAAACTCAACATTCAGAAAACTAAGATCATGGCATCTGGTCTTATCACTTCATAGCAAATAGACGGGAAACAATGGAAACAGTGACAGATTTTATTTTCTTGGGCTCCAAAATCACTGTGGGCGGTGACTGCAGCCATGATATTAAAAGATACTTGCTCCTTGGAAGAAAAGCTATGACATTTGTTTATTTTTGCTTTTATTTCTAAAATTCTGGGATGTGGGTCATAGAGGATCCTGCTGTGATTTATGTCGGAGAGTGTTTTGCCTATGTTCTCCTCTAGGAGTTTTATAGTTTCTGGTCTTACATTTAGATCTTTAATCCATCTTGAGTTTATTTTTGTGTATGGTGTTAGAAAGTGTTCTAGTTTCATTCTTTTACAGGTGGTTGACCAGTTTTCCCAGCACCACTTGTTAAAGAGGTTGTCTTTTTTCCATTGTATATCCTTGCCTCCTTTGTCAAAGATAAGGTGACCATAGGTTCGTGGATTTATCTCTGGGCTTTCTATTCTGTTCCATTGATCTATATTTCTGTCTTTGTGCCAGTACCATACTGTCTTGATGACTGTGGCTTTGTAGTATAGTCTGAAGTCAGGCAGATTGATTCCTCCAGTTCCATTCTTCTTTCTCAGGATTACTTTGGCTATTCGAGGTTTTTTGTATTTCCATACAAATTGTGAAATTATTCGTTCTAGTTCTGTGAAAAATACTGTTGGTAGTTTGATAGGGATTGCATTGAATCTGTAGATTGCTTTGGGTAGTATAGCCATTTTGACAATATTGATTCTTCCAATCCATGAACACGGTATATTTCTCCATCTGTTTGTGTCCTCTTTGATTTCTTTCATCAGTGTTTTATAGTTTTCTATGTATAGGTCTTTTGTTTCTTTAGGTAGATATACTCCTAAGTATTTTATTCTTTTTGTTGCAATGGTGAATGGTATTGTTTCCTTAATTTCTCTTTCTGTTTTCTCATTGTTAGTGTATAGGAATGCAAGAGATTTCTGTGTGTTAATTTTATATCCTGCAACTTTACTGTATTCGTTGATTATCTCTAGTAATTTTCTGGTAGAGTGTTTAGGATTTTCTATGTAGAGGATCATGTCATCTGCAAACAGCGAGAGTTTCACTTCTTCTTTTCCTATCTGGATTCCTTTTACTTCTTTTTCTGCTCTGATTGCTGTGGCCAAAACTTCCAAAAGCAAAAATAAACAAATGGGACCTAATGAAACTTAAAAGCTTTTGCACAACAAAGGAAACTATAAGCAAGGTGAAAAGACAGCCCTCAGATTGGGAGAAAATAATAGCAAACGAAGCAACAGACAAAGGATTAATCTCAAAAATATACAAGCAACTCCTCCAGCTCAACTCCAGAAAAATAAATGACCCAATCAAAAAATGGGCCAAAGAACTGAACAGACATTTCTCCAAGGAAGACATACAGATGGCTAACAAACACATGAAAAGATGCTCAACATCACTCATTATCAGAGAAATGCAAATCAAAACCACAATGAGGTACCATTACACACCAGTCAGGATGGCTGCTATCCAAAAGTCTACAAGCAATAAATGCTGGAGAGGGTGTGGAGAAAAGGGAACCCTCTTACACTGTTGGTGGGAATGCAAATTAGTACAGCCACTATGGAAAACAGTGTGGAGATTTCTTAAAAAGCTGGAAATAGAGCTGCCATATGACCCAGCAATCCCACTTCTGGGCACACACACCGAGGAAACCAGATCTGAAAGAGACACGTGCACCCCAATGTTCATCGCAGCACTGTTTATAATAGCCGGGACATGGAAGCAACCTAGATGCCCATCAGCAGATGAATGGATGAGGAAGCTGTGGTACATATACACCATGGAATATTACTCAGCCATTAAAAAGAATTCATTTGAATCAGTTCTAATGAGATGGATGAAACTGGAGCCCATTATACAGAGCGAAGTAAGCCAGAAAGATAAAGACCATTACAGTATACTAACACATATATATGGAATTTAGAAAGATGGTAATGATAACCCTATGTGCAAAACAGAAAAAGAGACTCCTATGTATAGAACAGACTTGTGGACTCTGGGAGAAGGCGAGGGTGGGATGTTTCAAGAGAACAGCATTGAAACACGTATATTATCTAGGGTGAAACAGTTCACCAGCCCAGGTTGGGTGCATGAGACAAGTGCTCGGGCCTGGTGCACTGGGAAGACCCAGAGGGATTGGGTGGAGAGGGAGGTGGGAGGGGGGACCGGGATGGGGAATACATGTAAAAAAAAAAAAAAAAGATACACTATGGTTGTGATTAAAAAAAAAAAATTAATTAATTAATTAATGAAAAAAAAAAAAAAAAAGAAAAGCTATGACAAACCCAGACAGCATTAAAACCCAGAGACGTTACTTTGCCAACAAAGGTCTGTCTAGTCGAAGCTATGGTTTTTCCAGTAGTCATGTATGGATTGAGAGCTAGACAATAAAAAAGGCTGAGCACTGAAGAATTGATGCCTTCAAACTGTGGTGCTGGCAGACTCTTGTCTTGACAGCAAGGAAATTAAACCAGTCAATCCTAAAAGAAATCAGCCCTGAATATTCACTGGAAAGACTGATGCTGAAGCTGAAGTTCCAATACTTTGGCCACCTGATGCAAAGAACTGACTCATTTGAAAAGGCCCTGATGCTGGGAAAGATTGAAGGCGGGAAGAGAAGGGGACGACAGAGGATGAGATGGTTGGATGGCATCACAGATTCGATGGACATGAGTTTGAGCAAGCTCTGGGAGTTGATGAAGGACAAGGAAGCCTGGCATGCTGCAGTCCATGGGGTCGTGAAGAGTTGGACATGCTGAATGACTGAACAGATAATTATAGAATTAAATGACTTAAAAATTCTGCTATGCCTAGACTGCAAAACAAACCAAAAAATAAAATGAAAGTAATGATACAATAAAATTTTTAGTGAATTTTAAAACTATAATTTTTCTGACAAATCACTATTACCTATTTATGTCCAGACTCTACAATTCTGCAAATTAAAATGATGTTGAATATACTATAGTAGTTCTACGACTTGATATGTTATTTTTGTAAAACTATTTGCCTATGAATATAGAAAGTGTTAGTTGCTCAGATATGCCCAACTCTTTATGATCCTAGGGACTGTAGCCCACCAGGCTCCTCTGTCCATGGGATTTGTCAGGTAAGAATACTGGAGTGGGTTGCCATTACCTTCTCCATGGGATATTTCCAACCCAGTGATCAAACCCAGGTTTCCCGCATTACAGGTGGCCTCTTTACCACCTGAGCCACCAGGGAAGCCACAAATCATATAAAGAAACTCCTCAAATGAATTTTTCAATATGTTTATTTTTAATATAAATTACTTTTAAAATCTGAGCATCCACAACATAAAATGTTCTTGAAAATGTTCATTTATACAATAGAACTTACAGATTTTATTGGGATATGAATACAGCATAGTATGAGAAACAAGAAAATATTTTTTCCATTTATTTTTATTAGTTGGAGGCTAATTACTTTACAATATTGTAGTGGTTTTTGTCATACATTGACATGAATCAGCCATGGATTTACATGTATTCCCCACCCCAATCCCCCCTCCCACCTCCCTCTCCACCCGATTCCTCCGGGTCTTCCCAGTGCACCAGGCCTGAGCACTTGTCTCATGCATCCAGCCTGGGCTGGTGATCTGTTTCACCCTAGATAATATACATGTTTCGATGCTGTTCTCTCGAAACATCCCACCCTCGCCTTCTCCCACAGAGTCCAAAAGTCTGTTCTGTACATCTGTGTTTCTTTTTCTGTTCTGCATATAGGGTTACCGTTACCATCTTTCTAAATTCCATATATATGTGTTAGTATACTGTATTGGTCTTTATCTTTCTGGCTTACTTCACTCTGTATGATGGGCTCCAGTTTCATCCATCTCATTAGAACTGATTCGAATGAATTATTTTTAATGGCTGAGTAATATTCCATGGTGTATATGTACCACAGCTTCCTTATCCATTCGTCTGCTGATGGGCATCTAGGTTGCTTGCATGTCCTGGCTATTATAAACAGTGCTGCGATGAACATTGGAGTGCACGTGTCTCTTTCAGATCTGGTTTCCTTGGTGTGTATGCCCAGGAGTGGGATTGCTGGGTCATATGGCAGTTCTATTTCCAGTTTTTTAAGAAATCTCCACACTGTTCTCCATAGCAGCTGTACTAGTTTGCATTCCCACCAACAGTGTAAGAGGGTTCCCTTTGCTCCACACCCTCTCCAGCATCTATTGCTTGTAGACTTTTGGATAGCAGCCACCCTGACTGGCGTGTAATGGTACCTCATTGTGGTTTTGATTTGCATTTCTCTGATAATGAGTGATGTTGAGCATCTTTTCATGTGTTTGTTAGCCATCTGTATGTCTTCTTTGGAGAAATGTCTGTTTAGTTCTTTGGCCCATTTTTTGATTGGGTCATTTATTTTTCTGGAATTGAGCTATAGGAGTTGCTTGTATATTTTTGAGATTAATCCTTTGTCTGTTGCTTCGTTTGCTATTATTTTCTCCCAATCTGAGGGCTGTCTTTTCACCTTGCTTATAGTTTCCTTTGTTGTGCAAAAGCTTTTAAGTTTCATTAGGTCCCATTTGTTTATTTTTGCTTTTATTTCCAATATTATGGGAGGTGGGTCATAGAGGATCCTGCTGTGATTTATGTCGGAGAGTATTTTGCCTATGTTCTCCTCTAGGAATTTTATAGTTTCTGGTCTTACATTTAGATCTTTAACCCATTTTGAGTTTATTTTTGTGTATGGTGTTAGAAAGTGTTCTAGTTTCATTCTTTTACAAGTGGCTGACCAGTTTTCCCAGCACCACTTGTTAAAGAGGTTGTCTTTTTTCCATTGTATATTCTTGCCTCCTTTGTCAAAGATAAGGTGTCCATAGGTTCCTGGATTTATCTCTGGGCTTTCTATTCTGTTCCACTGATCTATATTTCTGTCTTTGTGCCAATACCATACTGTCTTGCTGACTGGCTTTGTAGTATAGTCTGAAGTCAGGCAGGTTGATTTCTCCAGTTCCATTCTTTTTTCCCAAGATTACTTTGGCTACTCAAGGTTTTTTGTATTTCCATACAAATTGTGAAATTATTTGTTCTAGTTCTGTGAAAAATATGGTTGGTAGCTTGATAGGGATTGCATTGAATCTACAGATTGCTTTGGGTAGCATAGTCATTTTGACAATATTGATTCTTCCAATCCATGAACATGGTATATTTCTCCATCTGTTTGTGTCCTCTTTGATTTCTTTCATCAGTGTTTTATAGTTTTTTATGTATAGGTCTTTTGTTTCCTTAGGTAGATAGTCCTAAGTATTTTATTCTTTTTGTTGCAATGGTGAATGGTATTGTTTCCTTAATTTCTCTTTCTGTTTTCTCATTGTTAGTGTATAGGAATGCAAGGGATTTGTGTGTTCTTTTTATATCCTGCAACTTTACTAGATTCGTTGATTAGCTCTAGTAATTTTCTGGTAGAGTCTCTAGGGTTTTCTATGTAGAGGATTATGTCATCTGCAAACAGTGAGAATTTCACGTCTTCTTTTCCTATCTGGATTCCTTTTACTTCTTTTTCTGCTCTGATTGCTGTGGCTAAAACTTCCAAAACTATGTTGAATAGTAGTGGTGAGAGTGGGCACCCCTGTCTTGTTCATGACTTTAGGGGAAATGCTTTCAATTTTTCAACATTGAGGGTAATACTTGCTGTGGGTTTGTCATATATAGCTTTTATTATGTTGAGGTATGTTCCTTCTATTCCTGCTTTCTGGAGAGTTTTAATCATAAAAGGATGTTGCATTTTATCAAAGGCTTTTTCTGCATCTATTGAGATAATCATATGGTTTTTATCTTTCAATTTGTTAACGTGGTGTATTACATTTATTGTGGCTATTAAAGAATCCTTGCATTCCTGGGATAAAGCCCACTTGGTCATGATGTATGGTTTTTTTAATATGTTGTTGGATTCTGTTTGCTAGAATTTGAAACAAGAAATTTTAATATAACATTCATTTGAAAATCAGGAAGCAATTTTCATTTTTAGGAGGTATCAAACATGAAAGCATCACCTTAAAGCCAGGGGTGGCCAACTATAGACTGTGTGCCAAGAATGGCTTTCAGATTTTATTAATGTGAGAAAAAAGAAGAAAAAAGTAGCTGAAGTAGTGGCAGCAGCAGCAGCAAGAGACTATATATAGTTTGCCTAAATATTTATCATATGGCCCTTTACAGAAATGCTTACAACTTCTGTCTTAGAGTACCTATTCACAAGGCAATAAATATCTAACAAGAAGTCTCTTACCTGTCCAAGTATTTGTGAAAAGGAAGTCTTAACTGTCACCTAGTTTAAAAAACAATTATTTAAAAAGGTTATTTTTCCTATACTCACATTTTATTAAATGAGCACTCTACAACAATCACAATCACTACATAGTTATAATGATGAACCTAAAGGTACTCAAGATCTGAAAAGAATTCTCCAAATGATCAACATTTAATTTCAGTCAGCTGCAGTTTTACTGTTCAGAATTTTGCCCTTAATCAAATTCTTTTCAATTGGATGAATGCCATGATACATGAGTAAGCTTTTACTAACTAATATAGTTAATTAATTGGAATATCTTATGACCAGATCATACAAGATAAAGGAATTCACTGAATGACTGAATCCAGAAACCATACATTTATTTGCTGAGAAATTAAGCACAAATTAATCAACTTTCTATGTAACTTATACTTTAAAATCTCAAACCTACAATTGTATGGTACTAAAAAAAGCTAAGCAAAACCACTTCTGAGTAAATTTAATAAAAATAGGTTTCACATGATATAATACCAGGAACAAACAGAGCACATGTAGAAAAATTTGAGCAAAAACAATATTTTTAAAAGAAATTCATTGTTCATTAATTATCTCTACTATAAATATACCTCCTTAGATATTAGAAAGTCTGGGAAAAGGAAATATATCTTTCATAGAGAAATTGTAAAATATCTATATTTTGTCAATACATGGACTTTTTTGAAAATAAAATATTTGTTAAAACATGGACATTCTGACAGCACGCAGTATTTGAAGCCAAAGTACTAATGCAGCTCTTCCTATCTCTATAGTATTAGAAACATGAAGGCGCAAGTTGAAAACCATTACATCCTTGCAGAATCCTTCAATGCAAGAAACACAAAGCAAGATATCAAAGCACTAATAACTTCCAAAAATCTAAAATAACTCAGTATAGGTCAAACTGAAGCTTGGTTGTAGGACAGATTCTATTCACTTGACCTACTAATTCTGGTTTACCCTAAGAAAGTTCTAAAAAGGAATCCAAATATTTCCAGTATATTCTATAACTAAATCTTAAAAATTAAGCAAACATATAACTTACCTCATATTGACAGTCTGATGACGTGTACATTTTTAGTAATGCTACATGGCTATCATTATCAGGTTGGGCAATATGGAGTTTCACAGAAATATCAGTGGAAGATGGAACCCTGAAAATATAAACAATGAATTTTCAAATACAAAATGCTGTGAAATAACCATGGCTAGGTCAATACTCAGTACCACACAATAAAATACTGTAAGGAAGCTAGATGACACACACATGAGTTGAGGGAGAGGGTGGAAAGGGGTTTCTGTTTGATGCAAGTAAAGTTAAATTCTACACTGTTTAAATAATACTGTACATTATAATATTATATGTATTATCTTATGAGCACAATGCTACATAAAGGAAACCTATATTTTACTAAAAGGCACTATAATAATTTCACTAAAATTTTACTATGATTTAAATAAACAAAGTAAACTATATATTATTAAAAAACACCAAAGTTTAAGGTAAATTCTTTGATTTACTTACTGTGCAATGGTTAGTGAATCTTCATAAGACCAGGGAATATGAAGTTTATAGATACTAGTGATTTCTTCTGTGAAAACATAAAGGAAATATGTGTTACTAAATGTTATATAAGCTACTGTGATACGTAACTATAGCTGGGCTTTCCAGGTGGTGATAGTGGTAAAGAACCTGGCTGCCAATGCAGGAGACATAAGAGATGTGAATCCGATCTCTGGGTTGGGAAGAGCCCCTGGAGAGAGGGCATGACAGCCCACTCCGGTATTCTTGCCTGGAGAATCCCATGGACCGAGGAGCCTGGTGGGCTGCAGTCCACGGGGTTGCAAGAGAGTCAGACACGATTGAAACGACTTAGCATGCACATAGGCGTGCTGATCTGCATTTATACAATTACTCATTTCATTAAGAGTTATATCACATGATAAGATATTAGGGAGAATTCTTTAATGATAATATTTAATTAGGCCTACAAAAAGATATTAGAACACATGGGAAGTACTATGAAACTGGAAAAAATTAAACAGCTAAATGTCAATTACTATTACAATAGGACAGCAAGATATACAGTACTTTTTAAATGTAAATATTTAAAACAGATCAAAAGTTTTACTGTTATAAAGGGTCTATGTTAAATTAATTATTATATTAATTGGAAATATATTATCATATATTAAATATTAATTTACATGGAAAAATAAGTATTACAGAAAATTCCAGTGAAAAAGACCTAAAGATTCTTCAAATGACAAAACTATTTTTTCAGAAAATATACTTACCTTTGGCTCCTGAGCACTTGCTTACCACGTTGATTTTAAAAGCTTGGTATATCTAATAGAGTTTGACCACAAAGTAAAAAACAAAAAAAAAGGTTTGTAAGTTTAACTAAGCAGTAAAGTGAAATCAAGTCCTTGTTATTGTCAAGATAATTAATTACCTGTCCAAAGTTCAGAAGCTCTATATTATAGAACAGACCACTTGTATTTAATATCACTTTCCTTGAAGACAATCCTGTTGAATTAAAAGTACTGTATTACTTAGAATACCAAAAAAAAAAATTTTTTTTTAAGTACAAAAGTACTGACTTTAAACAATGTCTAAATAATGCCAACAGATTTTTTATATTAAAAGAGTTTATAGGTTCTTGCTTTTGGTATGGAAGAATGGACTCCTAAAAATTCAATCCTCATTCAATAAATTCTGGACAAAAACAGAACATTTATAATGACTTTATTCATTTTTAAAATTTTATTACTGGAATATAATTGCTTTATAGTATTGTGTTAATTTTGCTGTTGTTGAACAACCAAAGTTTATCAGCTACATGTATACACATGTCCCCTCCGTCTTGAACCGCCCTTCCACTCCCCTTCTCAAACCTACCCCTCTGGGTTGAGTACCAGGTTCAGTTTCCTGTGTTACACAGCAACTTCCTACTATCTATGTTACATATGGTAACATACATGTTTCAGTGATACTCTCGATTTGTCCTACCCTCCCCACTGTGTCTACATGACTGTTCGCTATGTCTGTGTCTCTATTTCTGCCCTGCAAATAGGTTCATCTGCACTATTTTTCTAGATTCCATGTATATGTAATATTATTTAATATTTGTTTTTCTCCTTCTGCCTTACTTCACTCTATACAATAGACTCTAGGTCCATCCACACCACTACAAATGACCCAATTTCATCCCTTTTTATGGCTGAGTATTATTCCATTGTGTATTATGTGGGATTCCACTGTATGTATGTACCACATCTTTTTTTCATTTATTTTTTAACTGAAGGATAATTGCTTTACAGACTTTGTTGTTTTCTGCCAAACATCAACATGGATCAGCCATAGGTATACATGTGTCCCCTCCCTTTTGGCCCTCCCTCCCACCTCCCTCTGCATCCCACCCCTCTAGGCTGATGATGCAGAGCCCCTGCTTGAGTTCCCCGAGTCACACAGCACATTCCCACTGGCTATCTATTTTACACATGGTAATGTTCCCACGGTACTCTCTCCATACATCTCACCCTCTCCTCCCCCTCCTCCTGTGTCCAAAGTCTGTTCTCTATGTCTGCTTCTCCATTGCTGCCCTGCAAATAAATTCATCACTACCATCTTTCGAGATTCCATATATATGCATTAGTATACAATATTTATCTTTTTTCTCTTTCCGACTTACTTCACTCTGTATAATAGACTCTAGGTTTATCACCTCATTAGAACTGACTCAAATGCGTTCCTTTTTATGGCTGAGTAATAGTCCATTGTATATATGTACCACAGCCTCTTTATCCATTTGTCAATGGACATCTAGGTTGCTTCCATATTCTAGCTACTGTAAATAATGCTACAGTGAACACTGGGGTGCATATGTCTTTTTCAATTTTGGTTTTCTCAGGGTATATGCCTAGAAGTGGGACTGTTGGGTCATATGGTGGTCTTATTCCTAGTTTTTAAGGAATCTCCATACTGTCTTCCATTCCCACCAACAGGGCAAGGTTTCCTTTCCTCCACACCTTCTCCAGCATTTACCGTTTGTAGACTTTTTGTCCATTTATCCGTCGATGGGCGTTTGGGCTGCTCCCATGTCCTGGCTACTGTAAACAGTGCTGCAATGATCACTGCGGTACATGTGCCTCTCTGAATTAGGGTTTTCTCAGGGTATATCTCCCACGGTAACAAGGTCATGCTTAAAATCTTGCATACTACTCTTCAGCATTACATGAACTAAGAACTTCCAGATGTCCAAATTGGGTTTAGAAAAGGTAGAGGAACCAGAAATCAAATTGCCAACATTCACTGGATCACAGAGAAAGCAAGTGAGTTCCAGAAAAACATCCACCTCCATTTCATCAACTATGCCAAAGCCTTTGACTGTGTGGATCATAACAAACTGAGGAAAGCCCTTAAAGAGATGGGAATACCAGACCACCTTACCTGTCTCCTGAGAAACCTGTATGTGGGTCAAGATGCAACAGTTAGAACCCTGCACAGAACAACTGATTGATTCAAGATCGAGGAAGGAATACGACAGGGCTGTCTGTTGTCATCTTGTTTATTTAATCTATATGCTGAGCACAACATGAGAAATGCCAGGCTGGATAAGTTACAAGCTGGAATCAAGATAAGTGGAAGAAACATCAACATCCTCAGATACAAAGATAATACAACTCAAATGGCAGAAAGCAAAGAGGAGCTAAAGAGCCTCTTGATGAGTGTGAAGGAGAGTGAAAAAAGTCAGCTCAAAACTAAACATTGAAAAAACTAAGATCATGGCATCTGGCCCCATTGCTTCATGGCAAATAGAAGTAGAAAAGGTGGAAGCAGGGACAGATTTCCTCTTCTTGGGCTCTAAAATCACTGCAGATGGTTATAGCAGCCATGAGATCAGAAGATGACTGCTTCTTGACAGGAAAGCCATTACAAACCTAGACATGTGTTGAAAAGCAGAGACATCACTCTGCCGATAAAGGCTCATATAGTCAAGGCTATGGTCTTCCCAGGGGTTACATACAGTTATAAGAGCTGGACCATGAAGAAGGCAGTGTGCCAAAGAATTGATACCTTCAAACTGTGGTGCTAGAGAAGACTTCTGAGAAACCCCTGGACAGCATGGAGATCAAACCAGTCAATCTTAAAGGAAATAAACCCTGAATACTCACTGGAAGGACTGATGCTGAAGCTGAAGCTCCAGTATTTTGGTCACCTGATATGAACAGCCAACTCACTGGCAAAGTCCCTGATGCTGGGAAAGACTGAGGGCAGAAGAAGAGGGTGTCAGAAGATACACTGTCTGGGTGGTATCACCAATGCAATGGACATGAACTTGGGCAAACTCCAGGAGATGGCGAGGGGCAGCAAGGCATGGCGTGCTGCAGTCCCTGGGGTTGCAAAGAGTCAGACACGACTGTGTGGCTGAACAACAGGGTATGTGCTCAGGAGTGAGACTGCTGGGTCATATGGTAGCTCTGTTTTTAGTTTCTTTAAGGACTTTCAATAACATTTATCTGTTTTTAAAAACCACTACATATTTCCAATTTCAAAAAGGTATGCTTTCTTGGTAGCTACTTTCTCTTTTTTTAAAAAACTTCTTAATCAATTTAAAAAATTACACCCACTTAGATGTGAATGCCTTTGGATAAGAATATACAAATACAAGTGTTCAGATGCTTCTTTGTAAAGAGAAAACAATAGGACAAACCACCACTGTGCAATAGACAGAAAAGGCTTGAAACAATTACCAAGTATATCACTAAAATTCTAATAATTAAAAAATAAATACTATATAATGTTAAGATTCTGTCAGGCATATTTAGCACCAGCTAAAACACATAACCAGGTTTTTCATAATGTTGCATTCTCCTAACTATTTTACAGGATCAAAAATTGAATTTAAGAAAATAGATGTAAGAAATGTGATCAACATGTAAACAAATTTCTTAAATAGAAGGTGTACCATCAATTTGTGATTAATAAATCACTTTTAGGACACACTGCTTAGACATTCAACTACAAACCATTTTAATGAGTACCTCTTGTAACCAGTATTTTAAAATACAGCACTGAATTTAAGGCAACTCAAAATGAACAACAGGAGAAAAACTATTAGATACAAAGTGTCCTTCACACTTTACTTACTCTAATTTGAAATACCATTCATTGTGCTAACCTTCTTCACAAGAAAGATGGACTATCTTTTGCACGTTTTACAAATTCTAACAAGAGGTAAGAAATAATTAAAAATTTTGCTTTCCACTATGGCAAAAAAGGAAATCAGAAGCTAAACATTGTACTTAACTTAAAAAACATTTTTAGTCTGACTCACACCCTAAAGATTTTAGAAAGAACATCTTTATTATTAAAATGTTGATAGACCCAACACAGACAAAGACTGTTACAAGAGACAAGGAAGGATACTACATAATGATCGCAGGATCAATCCAAGAAGAAGACATAACAATTGTAAATATTTATCCACTCAACATAGGAGCATCTCACTACATAAGGCAAATGCTAACAGCCATAAAAGAGGAAATCGACAGTAGCACAATAATAGTGGGGGGTTTTTAACACCCACTTACACCAATGGACTTTTGAACTGTGGTGTTGGAGAAGACTCTTGAGAGTTCCTTGGACTACAAGGAGATCCAACCAGTCCATCCTAAAGGAACTCAATCCTGAATATTCATTGGAGGGACTGATGCTGAAGCTGAAACTCTAATACTTTGGCCACCTGATACGAAGAACTGACTCCTTAGAAAAGACCCTGATGCTGGGAAAGATTGAAGGCAGGAGAAGGGGACGACAGAGGATGAGATGGTTGGATGGCATCACCAACTCAATGGACATGAGTTTGAGCAAGTTCCAGGAGATGGTGAAGGACAAGGGAAGCCTGGAGTGCTGCAGTCCATGGGATTGCAAAGAGTTGGACACAAATGAGCAACTGATGAACACCACCACCAATGGACAGACAGAAAATTACAAGGAAACACAAGCATTAAATGACACATTAGACCAGATAGACTTAGTTGATGTGTAAACGTTTCGTCCAAAAGTAACAGAATACCCTTTCTTCTCAAGTGCACATGGGACACTCTCCAGGATGGATCACATCTTGGTCACAAATCAAGCCTCAGTAAATTTAAGAAAACTGAAATCAGATCAAGTATCTTTTCTGACCACAATGCTATGAGATTAGAATACAGGAAAAAAACAACTATAAAAAAGAAATACAAACACATGGAGGCTAAATAATATGCTACTAAATAACAACCAATGGATCATTTCAATATACACTAATTAATCAATGTGGCACACCATACTAACAAACTGAAGAATAAAAACCATATGATAATCTCAACAGATACAGAAAAAGCTTTTGACGAAATTCAAAATCCATTTATGGTAAAAACTCTCCAGAAAGTGGACATAGAGGGAACATACCTCAACCCAATAAAGGCCATGTATGACAAACCCACAGTAAATATGAAGAACTGAAAGCATTTCTTCTAAGATCCTATTTACCATCACAACAAAAAGAATATGATACTTAGGAATAAACCTATCTACAGAACGTAAAGACCTGTACTCAGAAAACTACCAGATACCAGTGAAAGTAATCAAAGACAACGCAAACAGATGGAGAGATACAGCATGTTCTTGGATCAAAAGAATCAATACTGTGAAAATGACTATCCTACTCAAAGCAATCTACAGATTCAATGCAATCCCTATCAATTACAAATGGTATTTCACTCAGAAATAGAACAAAAAATTTTATAATATATGTAGAAACACAGATGACCACAAATAGCCAAAGCAATCTTGAGAAAGAAAAGGGGAGCTGGAGGAATCAGGCTTCCTGACCTCAGACTATACTACATAGCTACAGTAATCAAAACATTATGGTTCTGACACAAAAACAGAAAAATAGATCAATGGAACATGACAGAAAGTCCAGAGATAAGCTCACACACTGATAGTCACTTAATCTATGAAAAAGGAGGCAAGATTATTCAATGGAGAAAAGACAATCTCTTCAATAAGTTATTCTGGAAAAATTGGCCAGATATCAACACATGTAAAAGAATGAAATCAGAACATTCCCTAACGTCATATGCAAAAAAAATCTCAAACTGGATTAAAGACCTAAAAGTAAGGCTGGACACTATAAAACTCATAGAGAAAACCATAGGCAGAACACTCTTTGATATAAACTGCAGCAGGATTTTTAATCTACCTCCTAGAGTAATGAGAATAAGAAGAAAAATAAACAAATGGGACCTAATTAAACATAAAAGCTCTTGCACAGCAAAGGAAGCCATAAACAAAATGAAAAGATAACCCTCAGAAGGGGGTAAAAACATCTGCCAGCAAAGCAACTAACAAGGGATTATCCTCCAAAATATACAAACAGCTCTGCAGCTCAATTAAAAAAAAAAAAATCAAAAGATAGGCAGAAGATCTAAACAAGAATCAAACCACTGAGTCACATCACATGGTTATTCTAAGAACTATACTAGAAATATACACAAAAAATGTTACAAGGCTCTGTATTATTACAACTAACTGGCAAAATAAATCAACACTCTACCAAAAAGAAAAACAATTCTTAAGGTTTCCAAAATCCAGCTCCCCTGTTGGCTCAGTGGTAAAGAATCTCTCTGCCAATGCAGGAACCACAAGTTTGATCCCGATCCAGGAAGATCCTACCTGGCTCAGAGCAACTAAGCCCATGTACTACAACTATTGGGTCTATGCTCTAGAGCCCATGAGCCACAACTACTGAAGACCACACACCCAGAGCACATACTCCACAACAAAGAAGCCACCACAATGGGAAGCCCACGCATTGCATCTAAAGAAAATCCCATGCAGCAATGAAGAGCCAGTGAAGCCAAAAACTGAAAGAAAAAAAAAAATTTTCTAAAATCAAAGTACTTACCAAAGGAAAAAAGATGAGTTACAGGAAGCTGTATGGATCTTGTCTCTTTTTTAAAGAATTCACAATCTACAACAAACTGGAATATAAAACATTGATTTATTAGGAAAAAATAGAATTAAATGTATAGTAAAATATCTTCACTTGATATTTGAGTAGAAAATAAACATCTATAAAATTCAGTTTTGAAGAAGGCATTCTATTGTCTATTACAGTCCAACTCTCCAGCTATGTTAAGGGGGCATGAATTCCTCAAGGAGAGATGCTAAACTAAAAAAAATTGGTGAAAAATCTTAACTTAATAAATTATTAGAGGGTCATATCTATAAGAGCAGATGTACAGCACAGTTTTCTTGTAGTTAGTTTTAGGTGTTTGTAGAAGAGGGACCATAAAGGATAGATAAAAACATTAAGAGCAAAAGTTAATTCAAGATTAATTAGGAACTTAGATAATATATCCCCGAATATTTTCAGTCAAAATAAAATGTGATCTTGTACCATCTTTTAAAATTTTCCATATTTATTATGTTTCTACACTCTAATTAGACTACAAAAGGCTTTTGGAGACATACTGCCATTCATTTACAGATGCTTAATGCTATTCATGTAAGATTACTTCTAATCTTACAGGAGGCTAAACAGTGATTATAGTAAATGGAAAAGAGGTTCACTGCGTACAAAGGAAAAAATGCTATTGCAAAAAAAAAGTAAACCTAAAATGTGACATCTCCATCAGTGCAATTTCCATAATGACATTTATCGTCTAATAACATTTCCACAGTGGCGTAAGGATCTTCATTCTCAGCTATCTAATAGAACAGTTTCATTAAAATTGTTTCAATCCAACAATCCAACTAAATGACTCTAATCTATATGAGCTGAGGAAGAAATTAATCTGATGCCTAACTGTAGCTAGCAAGTAGTTTGCAATGCACTGTTAAGTAAAAAGCCAGTGGGGTCTACCTTAGGCTTTTCCAGCAACTGCACCTTTGACTGTATTTTAAGCTGTTTTATTTTGTTTGGGTGGAATTTTGATTGTTTTTGAAAATGAAAAACAGATGAGGGAAGATGCTATCAGAATGCACACACATAGGGAAACAAAAGAAAAAAAATTTACTAAGGGGCTCTGCTTTTATTTTCCCCTCTTTAATTAGAAGGCAAAGAATACTATCAGATATTTCCATTATAAAAAACAGCTGTTATAAGATTAGAGAAATCATTTATTGAGCACAATTAGTCATAATATTTTTATAGGTGTCTTTAGCTGAGACACTGCCTAAGATAGGAAGAAATTTTTAATCACTTTAACAGGTAATTAAAATAATACAAATTTTATTATTACTTTAAAAATTTGGCCATTTCTTTACGGAATAAACCTTTTACCAAGAAAGAATTCATGAGTCTGTCTCTGAAATATACAGATAAGTAAATTTCTAAATGACTTAATTTTGTTTTCTGTCATTAAAAAATGCAGGTAATTCCATATTTACATTTGGAAAACTATATTAAGACAATCAGTTGACTCAAAAACTTTTTAAACTGCCTATTTAAATACATGTATCCTTCTGGCAATGGGTCGTAACAAACCATAGAAATCATGAAAGACCTAAGTTAACCATCCTTGTGAGACTGGGTGTGCAACAATTAGAGTCAGCAGTGTTACTTTCCAAAGAGTGTTCACTAAGTATTTATTAGGCTGCTAAGACTGGCTATTTGAGAAAGGCTCATTAATTTCTTGGAATAATCAGAGAAGGCCTTGTTTGGGAAGATGTTAAATTCATTCAAAACCAACTTACCTTAAAGAAAAACCCTTAAAGAGAGCTTTTAGTACTGAAGATGTTGAATTACCTCTCACTTGAGCTAAGCAAAACAAAACAATGAATCCATTACAAGGTACTCCTGAGACTCAGTCTTTGAGATGACTCCTAACTACATCCCCTTTTCTTTTTTACTTTAAGTATTTCCAGTGATTTTGGCCCCAAATCTCATTAACTTTTTTATTCAAGAAACATGTGAATGTATATCTGGTGATCACTAGAGATTTCACTTCACTAAAGGTTTAGGATGCAGAATAAAACCCATTTAGTCCTTAATCTCAATAAGTTCATACTATGGTTTGGCAATAAAGACATAAATTATAATTCAGTGTAAAATATTCCTCAAAGAACTTATAAACAAAATATGGGACTAAGTAAGAGGTTATTGGAGTTGGAGTAATATTTTACTCCAATAAAAGGAAAACAGGGCCCACTTAGGTTAGATGTTGAAGGATGAGTTTGCTGGGTAAAATGTCCCTGCCTACTTCTCTCAAAAATTACCATCCTTTTATTTCTACTCCCACTGCACGACTACAAGCCTGCAAAACCCCTTAACAGGTGCCTGGTCTGTCTTGCTTCTAATCCATCCTATACCATAAATAGATTCACTGTCCAAAACAAATGGCCCTGATCCCATTACTACCATGGTGAAAAATCTTTTGGTTCCCTTCTGGCTTCTGAATCTTCCAATGAAGGACATTCACAATATGGCCATGAACTACTTTTCCAGACTTTTCTTCCACTACTTTTCTTCTATCCATGGTAGCTCTCCTTTTAAAACTATTTACTTACTCACTATTTTCCAAACATACCCTACACCTTCCATGCTCTGATTTTACTATTTATGTCTCAAAGATGTTGTTCATTATAACTTTCTGCAATAATGTTACTATTGAGCATCTGGAATATGGCTAGTACAGCTAAGGATCTGAATTTTTACTTTAAGTTTAACTAATTTAAATAGTCACATGTGCGAATGGCTCCCAAAGCAGGTAGCCCAGGTCTGGAATACTCAGTCTGTAAAAACACTCACTGTCCTTCAAGGTGATTTTAAATGCCACCTGAAAGTAATGTCTTTTGCGACTGCCTCAGTCAGAGCTGTCTCCCGCTTAGCGCCTTTCAAGGGTTTGCAATATCCTGTTTGCATCATACATTTTTGGGCGCCTCTTTCATCTCCCCACCCCTGGCTTTCAAATGTATCCCCGCCCCTCTGCCAGCAGTGCGCGAGCTTGCTGAGAGCAGGGCTCACGTCCTCTTTCGTGTGCCTCCCATGGCTCCCGGCGCACAGGTTTGCACATAAAAGGGCACTCAACAACTAACATATTTTGAAAGCCTGATAAAGTAGAAATAATTCCCACTTGAAACAGAAAGACTTGGATTTATTCTGCTTAGTTCAAGTCAGAGTAGATGATCCCAATGACTTAAACAGTCTTAAGTGGATCACCAATCCAGCCACTATTTTAGATGTTTTAGATAAGTGCTATGCTGAAGAATGTATCAAAAAATGACTTAAATATTTAGCATAAGTATCCCAGAAACATTCTGATAACAGATTCTTGCTTGTTACCTTACTTCCATGAATAGATGGTACATAAACAACAAGATGAGACAAAGATGGATAGTCTTGAAGTCTTAACGTCAGAGACTAAAAAAAGATGAAAAAAAAATCTGATTTTATTTAGGATATACAGAGCTTAAAGCATGTTAAAAAATAAATTACAAACCCATTTCTTACTTAGTAAGTTACCAAAAAACTGATTTCAAACTTTATGTTCAGTACTTCATAAAGTGCCCATGTTTACATTTTCAGGTCAATGAACCTGCTGAATGTCAAATTTCTAAAAATTAAGTTAATATGGACTGCCAAATATTCCCTGAACTATATTACTTCAAGTAAAACAAATGAAATGTAACACTAAATTTAATTATTTTACAAATTTATTTCCAGATATGGTCTCTTATAATTTGTCTACTTGCTTTGTATAATATTACAGTATGATTTCTACATTGATTTTGGTGATATATGACAAAGAACACTCAATAACTGAATGGATGCTCAGTATGACAAAACAATTGCAACTTAATCTGAAATGATTCTGATCTAGCCCACATAATAAACATTTGCTGGCTAATGATGTATGAACATCATCCCTTGGAACTTGTTCAGTAAGTGACAAGAATGAACTACGCAAGTCTAACAACACACCTCACCCAATGAGCATCTCTTCTCTTCTCAAAGCTAAGGCCTTATCTTACAGTCCATATTTTGAGGAATGACTAGATAGGACACTGGTCTATTTAATGAAAAGCTAGGCCACCAAATATAGTTTTCAAGTTGTTTTTTTTTTTCCTGACAATAGATGTGGGAAAGGGGAGTAAGTTATATGTTGCAACAATCTTATGCATTAAGAGATTTCTGGACTTAACATTCTCCACTGTTCTTCAGAAGCACCCATGTGGGCAATCTGGACTGAGAACCTGAAGCACACTATCACCAGTGGTCCTCAAACAACCAGACCAGATTCACCTGGGAGTGCTTATTAAACTCCTGGGCTGTTGGAGAGCCAGGGTGCAATATATCCCTATGAATGATGCTCATAATATGAGTTAAGAGCATCAAAAGGGGGGAATGAAAAAGGAATTCATAGGGCCTGGACTCCATCTGAGGCCTGTCCGTGCTGATCATGCTTGGCCGCCTCTCCAGTGGACTCTGAACTCTCTGCTTAGTGCCTGTGGGAACGACAATGAAAGGAGAAGACCCCCTCCAGACAGGGGAACCTTGAAGATCATATCCAGGTTACTCATCACCTAAGAGAAAACAGACACTAATCACCCCTGCCTCCGGACAGTATCTACTGGAATGTAACCACAGGCTTATCGGTTAAGTGGTTGGAATGTAACCACAGGCTTATTGATTATTAACTGTTTGAACACATAACACGTGAATGATGGGGTTATTGTGATTGTATTTACCCTTCCTTTGGAAGCCTCAAGGGATTTGGGGTGGTGGGTTTGGACACAGACACATGGGGTGTAAAAGACTTTCACAAATGCTGGTCAGGATCCTTGGCTAAGAGGAGACTCTGCCTTGGGCCCGCCAGTGTAATAAACTGCACTCCACTAAAAAAATAAAATAGAAAATAAACTCCTGGGCTGCATCTCAACTGATTAAGGAAAGTCTCTATAGCCAACTTACATATTCTAATGTAAATTAAAAGGTGACAGACAGGGGATTCCCAGATGGCGCAGTGGTAAAGAATTTGTCTGTCAGATGCAGGAGATGCACTTAAATCCCTGGGTCAGGAAGATTCTCAGGAGTAGGAAATGGCAACCCACTCCAGTATTCTTGCCTGGAAAATTCCATGGGCAGAGGAGCCAGGCAAGCTACAATCTCAGAGCCAGACACGACATAGCAACTAAACACACACACATGCGTGCCTGTGTGCTTGGTCATGTCCGACTCTGCAACCCCGTGGACTATAGCCCACCAGACTCCTCTGTCCATTGGAAGTTTCCAGGCAAGAATACTAGAGAGGGTTGCCATTTCCTACTCCAGGGGATCTTCCGACCCAGGGATCAAACCCAGTCTCCTGCATTGGCAGGCAGATTCTTTACCACTGTGCCACCTGGGAAGCCAGAGCACGTGCACACACACAAAAGGACCACACAAGCCAAAGCTCCAGGCAACTGAGACCAACCAGGTAAGTGGTAGACAATATGAAAGATAAATTAATTAGAAAGAACCATGGCTATCTGTGTAGCTATCCACTCTGAGAGCTTTTGTTACTCTCAAGAAAAATTTTTTTTCTCAAGAATTTTTTTTTTCAGGTCAGTCAGTTCAGTCACTCAGTCGTGTCTGATTCTTTGTGACCCCATGGACTGCAGCACGCTAGGCCTCCCTGTCCATCACCAACTCCCAGAGTTTACTCAAACTCCTGTTCACTGAGCCTGTGATGCCATCCAACCATCTCATCCTGTTGTCCCTTTCTCCTCCTGCCTTCAATCTTTCAATTTTTCAGATCAGAATACTTTAAAAAGATATGTACATTTACTTATAAAGTTAAGCTCCCATATAGTTCTAAAATCAGCAGGAATTTGGCAAGATACTATTTATGAAATTGCTACATTGAAAGGTAAGCTTAATGCAAAGTTTGAAAATTTTTCAGTGTTTTAAAAATAAAAATTACCATAATGCTAAGGCAACACATAAAAAAACAAATAACAGTGTTCAGACGTCAGAAACCCTTCAATTTCTGCTGCTGTGTGTGAGGCAAAGCTGTGGTGCTGTGTGTAATTTAGGCAAAAGAGTGACAAGGTAACTCTTCTCATCCAACTTAGATTTATTTCCAAAGGTGATTGTTTTGTTTTTAGCAATAAGTCCATTTGGGCTCACGAAATTGTCCGCGTGCTGTGGTTTGTGTGTTTTTAGAAACTTCTTCACTGTATCATGACAGAAAAGCTCCATATGATTGGTGCTCTGAAGGCCCTAAACTGCTTTGCTAGACGATTCCATCTATTTATTAACAATTCAGTGAGCAGAGGTGCTCAAAATGGTGTGTTTCTCATGTGACATTACCCTTGTTGAGAAGACATAAATAAGAATAGAACTCACAAAATTTTTTTACTTCAATCTTTCCTTTCAACTTCACGTCAAAGTAACTTTGTGTGCTTTTTTATAAATGGCTAACACATACAAATGTATATATGTAATTTTGACTTTCATTATAATGGAAAAGTTTATTTGCATTTAATAATTACAATCATCTTCAATTGAGAATAACTAAGACAGCAGAAGATTATAATCCTTCCTTTCTACCTTCTCTCTTTTCTCCTCAAATCCAGCAGGCTTTTAATGCTGCCCAGCACTTTCTCATAGCATCCACTATAAAAAGTAAGCAGAGGGAAGAACTTGTTCTCCTACTGCTCGGCCAGCTGTTTCTTACACTTAGAAAAAAATAACACAGGGGACTAAAACTAGATCAATACATTGTTTAATCTTTGAGACTAAAAAATAATATTAAAATATTATGGTTTAAGAGTTAACTTTTTAAAAGTAGTAATAAAATAACATTTTATCAGGTTTTTAATCATTTATTTCTTTCTAACTCTTAAATTGGGTTTCCATGGTAGCTCAGTGGTAAAGAATCCATCTGCAATGCAGAAGCCAAAGGAGATGTGGGTTCGATCCCTGGGTTGGGAAGATCCCCTGGAGAAGGGAATGGCAACCCACTCCAGTATCTGTGCCTGGAAAATCCCATGGAGAGAGGAGCCTGGCGGGCCACAGTCCACAGGGTCGCAAGGAGTCAGACACGACTAAAGTGACTTAGCACACACAGCTCTTAAACTACAGAGCGACGAGGATATCCAAACTGAAAATTCAAGGAAATATTTAATACACCATATCAGTGACTTGTCAGTAAGTACATCCTATTACTTTTGTTTTTGTTTTGATCCAGCGTAGACAGTTAGGATAGAACTAGTGAGAGACCTTAAAAATGTTCTTGGGAGTGAAATCAGTTATTTGTCATATCAAAACAAAGCCACATGAATAAATATGCACCAAGTAAGACTGACCAAAGAGACAGAAAAAAAATCACTGCAGCATTCCAAAGTCAAGTGCAAGTGACTTGCAATTATTCATTCTGTCATCATTCCTCTCCTTGGTGTAGTACAGACTTGATTATACATACAGACAAACAAACATTCATGAGGACAAATAACTGGAGCTGGGAGATGACCAGGACCAACCAGAGGACTGCACATCCAACTGTATGAATATAGTATTCATTATGACAATTTTTTTGACAATATATTTTAAAGTATATATTTATTTGAAGACTAAAAGCTACCAATTCTAGCACATGATTACCAGTGTAATAAATACAATGTGGAAATTAGAACAGACATTTTCTAATATCAAATTTTAGAATTGTTCTATTTTTCAACAACAGATTTTGTTGAGTATGCAAATTAACCTTTTGTAAAGACTGCTGACCTGCCACAACTGCTTAAGGCAATCACTAGCAATTATTAAATAAATTCTATGGAACCTTAGATAAAAGTAGATAGTTACTGAAGGCTTTAGCCACAGATAATACTGAAATTGAAATCTGTTTTGTGTCTTTTTGTGATGCTTACTTCTCCAAACAAATTCTGAGTATACTCAACTCAGTATTTTAAGACAGACCATTCCAAACAAACTCTCAAATTAAATATTAAAATTTATCTATCTTTTATCATGATGCTATAACATATAGATTTAATTTTATTTTGGATTGATGACCTGTTTTCATCTATGAAAGCTAAAAAAAAAACACATGCTATTCTCCATTAAGTGTATTTCCAGAGAAAATATTTCTAAAATGTACATTAGCAAATTTCATAATTTATTTATTACCTAGATGAATTTAATCAAACAATATACTGTATACTCCTATATGTTCAAATATTTTTTTCACCTGGATATTAACATTCTAAAGCCATAATTTACCTTAATTGTTGGCAGCAGTTCAGCTTTCCATGATAAATCAACCCCTTGCCGGCTTGGAAATACATATGAAAAGATAATTAAAGGACAAATATATTAAAGTATTATAAATTATCAATAAGCATCAGAACAACATGAAACCATCTATGGACCTATCAGAAACACTTCTAATGAAGTCAACTCTGGTAAGTCTAACACAATATGCTTTATCCACATAGTCCTTTTGGGCACTTGTAGTTTTTCCTAGCAATCAATTACCAATGTTTGCAAAAATTACTAGTATGTTAATTTTATTTATTTTTAATTTTAAAATCAATATTATAATTTAGTACGGTAGCAAAATGACAGTAAGTATATGTGAAGCAACTCTGAAAGTGTAACTTGAGTATATCTTATGTTGAGAAAATGAACAACTAAAGGCCTTATGTTTAAAACACTTACCACATAGAAGTGCTGTTTATGCAGCCAAAAATCCAACTATTTGTATCCTATTGATTAATAACACAAAACAAAGCACAATATTATAGAAAATAACTATATAAAATAAGCATTTCACTGTTTATGATAGGGTCAGTAGGCATAATGAAACATAAAATAGTAACTCGCTATTCAGAAATGTATTCAAAATGGTCTCAAAAGTCAAACAGGTCAATGGTAGGCAAAGAAGTCTAAACAGACAGGTAAGCAAGTAACCTGGAGCAGCAGTACAAGAGATGAGATGATGGGTAATCTTTCCATAGCATACTGCTAAGCAAGTCTAATTTCTGAACAAACATTTAGAGTTCAGCAATGTCCACACTTTAATTAGATAGAAATTACAAAGAAAGTAACCTACATTTTAACAAAAAATAAGAATGAACTACAAGTGGACTTTCATACAAAGAGGGGGAAAAAAGCCAGAGTCAAGCCAAGTAATTAAAAATAATAATCTAATATAGCGTTTTAGTTTATCATTTGAGTTCTCATTTGATTACTAGACAGGTAACTTTTATGCAACTGAGACTGTGCTTGGATTGAAACACAATTCCAAGGGTTTAAGACTAAAGCTTAGTTGTAACTTTATTAGTGCAGGTTGGGAATACTGCAGAGATGGCTGTGGTATTTTAACAATATTACATATTCAGCTTCAGTTATTTAAAAGCAGTATGACCAAAGATTGTCACTTCAACTTTTAATGAAGTAGTAAGAGCAGTGCTCCAAGATCTAACAATACTGAACTCCTACCAGAGCATAAGAGAATAAGAAACACTGCTGAGACAACTACATACATTGTCCCTTAGTATACAGACAGGGCAATAAAAGTATCAATGTTTTCATTCAACTAGTATTTATAAAATCTAATCTGGAGCCAAGGAATTATGCTAAACCCTCAAGAAAAATGATGAATCAAGCAGATTGAGTCTCTGCCCTCATGGAGTTTAAATAAAATTTTTAAGATATTTTTCAAGAATATAGAAAAGTAAGTTGAAAGAAAACAAGAACATTGTGGTACTTCTCTACTCTCCACTGCTGACAAAATACTTGTCTGACTTCTTTATCAGTTATCTGTGCTTCCCAGCACAAAAACATGACATTACAAATCAAAGCAACAGAAGAGAACTGCATGGGCCTAGACAAAGAAAACCTAGCAACCTCTCAAGATCAACTCATCTGTACAACTGGTTTTCGCAGCTACTAAAGGAACCTATATCAAAGATAGCCTTTATTATGAAAACTGCCAATATTCCAAACTACTTACTTTGGTGTCTAGAGAATTCTGATTCAGTCACTAACAGATTGAATAAAGTATTATTCAAACCAACCCTAAGACACTGTGTTGTTAAAACCTAGAAGGTGTCAAAAGAACAACTTCAGGTTATCTAGTAAACACTCTTGCCTCAGCTAATTATAAAGCCTGTCTTAAAAGTCAGAGAAAAAGTCACTCAGGATTTGCTAACTCCCTAAGTATACAGAAAAGAAAACGCTACTTGATCATAAAATTTATAGATCTAAAAAATATCTGTCTATAGCAAAAGAAAAAATGACATCCTCAACAGCTGCTAAAATCATTAGGTGAAGGACTGATTAGAACTTGATAATGGATCATGCCAGTAGGACCTGAGTTCACTGGAAAATCAGTGCGCTGATTTTTTTTGCCACTCAAAATGAGACAACCACTTACCTAACAATGTGGTAAGTATGCAGCTCTACTTATAAAACACTCCTACCAAAAAAAAATTTATTCAAGATTCTAGATCTACCTACCTACCAGTTTACAGAAAACATGATAGATAGAAATACACGTTAAAAGATAGCACAAGAATACAATACTAAACCCAAAACAAATACACGGCATGGGAGAAAGAAAGAGGGGACTGTTATAAAAGAGACATAAGACCTATGAATCAAATGCCATGTATGTACTTTTTGGATTGTGATTCAAATAAGCCAACTTAAAACTTAAATGAACAAAGGAAAATTGAACATGGGCTAGATACCATGTGACATTAAGGAATATGTAATTAATTTTGGTGGGTAAAATAATGATATTATAATAATGTGTAAAATTCTTATCTGTTAGAAAGATTGAAATACGCATGGATAAAATGATAAAATGCCTGAATTTTGCTTTAAAAATGCTTCAGTCAAAAAAAGTGAAGAAGGATTAAATCACATTAGAATGGCAGAGTGTTGATAACTGTTAAAGCTGTGTAACAGTTATATTCTACTTTTATATGTTTGAAAACATCTATGATAAAGATGGAAACGATTTTTAAAAATTCTCCACATATCCATAGACCTTATTACAGAAAAGGGATCCTCCAATGAACCAAACAGATATATCTGCACTTTGGCAAAGATATTTCTCAATATAATACTGCCATTTTTATTTGGAATAGTGTGGATGCTTTAAGCCATCACCCTCAGGGCCAGATTCTCTTGGGATAAACTATGCATCCAAATTTTAGGCTGAGAGATGCAAAACTGTGGAAAATCCACTAAAATTAGTATTCACTAGTATCTAGCCCACAATGTCTGACTACCAACTCTTCTAAAGACTTTCAGTTCAGTTCAGTTGCTCAGTCGTGTCCAACTCTTTGCGACCCCATGAATCGCAGCACGCCAGGCCTCCCTGTCCATCACCAAATCCCGCAGTTTACTCAAACTCATGTCCATCAAGTCGGCGATGCCATCCAGCCATCTCATCCTCTGTCGTCCCCTTCTCCTCCTGCCCCCAATCCCTCCTAGCTTCAGGGTCTTTTCCAATGAGTCAGCTCTTCACATGACGTGGCCAAAGTACTGGAGTTTCAGCTTCAGCATCAGTCCTTCCAATGAACACCCAGGACTGATCTCCTTTAGGATGGACTGGTTGGATCTCCTTGAAGTCCAAGGGACTCTCAAGAGTCTTCTCCAACACCACAGTTCAAAAGCATCAATTTTTCAGCACTCAGCTTTCCTCACAGTCCAACTCTCACATCCATACTGGAAAAACCATAGCCTTGACTAGATGGACCTTTGTTGGCAAAGTAATGTCTCTGCTTTTTAATATGCTGTCTAGGTTGGTCTGACTTTACTATGTATCAAATGACAGTATCAACCAACTAAGTGACATATTAGATCCTAGTCCTAAAAAACACAAATAATCCAACAAAAGGGAAATGAGGAAACTTAAATTCTGAAAGATATAAATATAAAGTGAAGAATCCTAGGGTATGAGGGGAAAAAATCAGAATAGAGAGCAAAGCACCCAAATTGGGAGGCAAATTCCTGAAAGCAAGAAGTGTCGATAAATTATTAAACAGTCCTAATATAAGAAAAGATGCTAAAGCATATAACATATTTGTAGCATAGTAGGTACTCATTAAAAAGAGATACACAAAATCATCATACTGACACTAAAAATCTGGGTAACACTGTAACAAAAAGTTACTAAACTACTTTAGAGAATATTTGGTATAAAATGTACTCCAAATTTCAGTATGGAAGTCAATGGAAAAACAGGATTTAGTTTATAAAAGAGAACAGTTTCGCTTAAATGTATCTATTCTTTAATGTACTAACATAATTTTAGAATTAAAGAAATGCTGAGCTGAATTCCTTCATCCTAAACACTATGAAACTAAGGTAGAAAGGGTGAAAAACCTAAGCTAGAGGCAAAGTACAAGCTAACAGTATACCAGTTGCAGATACATTTTGATCAATACTTTTCAATCAATACTCTGTTCCAGATAAATGTTTTTCAATTAAATTGGTTTAATAATAGTTTATAGCTAAAGATGAGATCTATTAAGCTGAATTTTAAAAATAAACAATAGTCAGCCTTTAAAATTTACATATAAGTGTACCAATTATCTTACCAGCATGGTGCTCTGACAATAGACATGAGTGTAGATTTTTCTATGATTTGCAAGGGGAAATGTAAAATATATCTTATCAGATTCCTAAAAACAAGAGGGAAAACACAAAAAAACTATTATGAGAGTAGATAATTTCATAATTCAAAAATTCAGACAAAGTAATAAATAATTATTCTAATGAATTCTAATGGATTATTTTAATTCTATCATTCTTGGTGTTGTGAACCATTACTCTAGGAATGAAAAGAATATATAGACGCAAAACAGTACAAACTCTGAACACCTGAACTTGTCTTGGAAGCATCAATATGAATGCATGCTTTTCTTGTTTGGTTTGGTTTTTGGCCTCATGACCGGACATGTCTTAGCTCTGTTCACTGGAAAGGCCTTAGAAATGATAACTCACTACTCATAACACCTGTAAGTGCCCAAGTTATGGATTTTAGATACTGTTTACCAAAAACTAGGAAGAGCTTCTTTGAGAAAAAGCCAGATTCAAGGTCTGGGATGGGAAATGCCACACAATGAGCTAAAATACTATCTTATACTAGAGTGAGGAAAACATCAAAGACAACTAGAGAGCAGCTATACCAAAAAGATCCAGGCGCCTACACTGAAACGGCTTCCACTGGTCAAAGACAGAATAGTTGTTTTTTTTTTTCATTTATTTATATTAGTTGGAGGCTAATTACTTTACAATATTGTAGTGGTTTTTGCCATACATTGACATGAATCAGCCATGGATTTACATGTGTTCCCCATCCTGATCCCTCCTTCCACCTCCCTCCCCATCCCATCCCTCTGGGTCTTCCCAGTGGACCAGCCCTGAGCACTTGTCTCATGCATTCAACCTGGACTGGCGATCTGTTTCACAATTGATAATATACATGTTTCAATGCTATTCTCTCAGATCATCCCCCCCTCGCCTTCTCCCAGAGTCCAAAAGTCTGTTCAATGCATCTGTGTCTCTTTTTCTGTCTTGCATATAGGGTTATCGTTACCATCTTTCTAAATTCCACATATATGTGTTAGTATACTGTATTGGTCTTTATCTTTCTGGCTTACTTCACTGTGTAATGGGGTTCAGTTTCATCCACATTATTAGAACTGGTTCAAATGTATTCTTTTTAATGGCTGAGTAATATTCCATGGTGTATATGTACCACAGCTTCCTTATCCATTCCTCTGCTGATGGGCATCTAGGTTGCTTCCATGTCCTGGCTATTATAAACAGTGCTGCAATGAACATTGGGGTACATGTGTCTCTTTCAATTCTGGTTTCCTCGGTGTGTATGCCCAGCAGTGGGATTGCTGGGTCATATGGCAGTTCTATTTCCAGTTTTTTAAAGAATCTCCACACTGTTCTCCATAGTGGCTGTACTAGTTTGCACTCCCACCAACAGTGTAAGAGGGTTCCCTTTTCTCCACACCCTCTCCAGCATTTATTGCTTGTAGACGTTTGGATAGGAGCCATTCTGACTGGTATGAAATGGTACCTCATTGTGGTTTTGATTTGCATTTCTCTAATAATGAGTGATGTTGAGCAGCTTTTCATGTGTTTGTTAGCCATCTATATGTCTTCTTTGGAGAAATGTCTGTTTAGTTTTTTGGCCTATTTTTTGATTGGGCTGTTTATTTTTCTGGAATTGAGCCGCAGGAGTTGCTTGTATAGTTTTAACAGCAATTTTAGTATCAAAGACAGGACAATTTTAGTATTTTAGTTGAGACAAAAAGACAAAAATGTCTGAGCTCATAATAACACTAGAGGAACCCCCCCCCAAAAAAAATCTTATGATCACTAATGGAGGGTGCTGGTGAGCCAACTAACTATTCTGAAAACCAGTAAACGTAATATCCAAAGATACACAGAATTATCATTTTTTTCCTTCGTAATCTATTTGCTCCACTCTAGATAAATTTAGCAGATGAGAAGTTTTCTATATAGTATTTCAGTTAATAAGGGACGAATAATCAAACCATAGTCTTATTGCTTTTGCAATAAATGAATTAATGACTCTATGCCTTCTTCATCAGTAATAGCTGCTAACATCACAAAAAGACGAGTCTAGCAAAAAGAAAAGCAAAACAAAAATGTGAATCTGATGAAGCATCTAGACTCAACTACCAAGTCACAGAAAGGAGTAGGCAAAGGAACATACGGAATGACACTACAGGAATGCAATCAGCAAAATCAAGACTGTGAAACCATGGGACAAATGACTTTTTTTTTTTCCAACAAACAAACTGCAAGGAAAAAAAGGGTAAAGGAGGTATTAGAAATTTAAAGAGGAGTAAGAGATATATCAACAAATAATATGTAGACTTTGTTTGTAACCTGATTTAAGCAAACTAGAAAACAAGGAAACAATAAAAAAATTTGACAGTTATGATAAAACTAGAAAATTGAACACTGACTAGATATCAGTGAATTATTACTAAACTGATTTAAGATGGGAAAAAGTGCTTATCTTCTTTAAAAAGTCTAACTTTGAAAGAGAAATACTAAAATATTTTGGAAAAAAAAATTGTTAAATCCATTGGTGGTGTACTTACATTGTAAGCCACATATGTCCATTTGGACACTTTTACTGGAACCCACATAGATGTCCCTAAGGTAAAAGAAATTAATTTATTTGACTTTTTAAAAAATATTAAGTGATTTCTTTTACTGCATACTTCTCAGTCATAACAGGATTTGAAAAAAGCATCTTCCTGAATACCGGCTATTTAAAAAATATAAAATCCAAGGAGATGTCCTCCATATACTCATCACCAAGGGGCACTCAGATCAAGTGAAGCATTTAAAAACTATTTGGTGAGTAACTCTAAGAAGTATCAACAGAAGTAAACAAATATTTTCCAACCTAAGTAGAGTATGAAATACATATTAAAAACAAAATTTACCAGCAAAGGATATGCTATTAAACTACAAGACTAAAGAATGATACTAAGAGACTAAGTCATGAATAACGTAGCATTTATTTATGTGGCTGTCAGAAGAGAGGCAATTAACTCTTTTAAACTTAGCTACTGTCATGTTATTTTCAGTAGAAAATTTTTGTCAGCAATATGTTACAAATCACTTTTTAATTTTTTCTCTTAGTCAAGAACCTCATAATAAATCAGCACAGGGAAATTAATAAAATATAATAGGACTATAACACTGGAAGCATTACAAAAGAGTTTATCTGCTAAGGACCAATTTACCTAAAATAATATCCAAAACTTATACTTAAAATTAAAATGTTATTACTACCAACCTGTTAAGTCAGAAATTATTGCTGGATTTTCCTCAAAGTGTTTTGCTGGGTGTCTTATAAAATGGTGATTCAAAACCAACAATTTCTTCTTGGGATTTTGAGTTATCTAGAAAGAACATTGATATATTCTGTATCCTTTTATATCCACTGTGATGACCTAATGAAACTTTGTTTCAAGTGTGGATTCCTTACTATCTGAGCCACCAGGGAAGTTCAAATAAAAATAAAGTCAACAGTTACTCTGGTCTAGGCACTGTTTTAAGTGCTTAATATGAGACTACTTATGCTTTGAGTTATAGTTCCCTTGTAAGTATGTATGTTTTTCTTCCTAAACTGAATGCTTCTTGAGAAGCAGGAAAATATCCCAACATTTTAATGTCTAATGTTTAGTAAAATATCCTAACATTTTATTATCAAATATTTAGTCTAGTCTATCATATACAGTGAATTTGTGAAAAAGCTCAGTTTCATAGTATTTTGATTCTTAACAGTATTAGTCAAAAATTTCTCATTTGTCCCTTGAAATGCATCTGTAAAACACTTATCCATCCAAAATTATAATTTATTACATGCTAGTATTAGGGTTTTCTCATCTTAGAATTTAATGGAAAACAAGATATGATTTGTTAAAATAAGTTTGATATATCATTTAAAAAATATATATTCTGAAATTCATCTGTTATCAGCTGAAACGGTTTTTCCTAAACATATTGGCCATAGCTAAAGAGTCACAATTAAAACAATGTTGAAAAGCTGAAAAATGTTTGCATTCCATGTCTATACAATTGCAATATTAACAGTGTTAAACCTATAAAGCTGATTTACTTTAATACACTAACTTAAATATGGCATCTTGTGATTTAAAATGTGGTAAAACAGATCAATTTGTGTCTTTCTTTTATCAATCACTCTCTCTGATAATAGTTATGCAGCTTTCTGAAGGAGTAAAGAAGAGAATACACTACCTTATTCCTAAGAGAAAATGCTACAGGAGCAAGGTTAAGACACAATAAAAAGGAAAGTATTAGCTAGAGAGCTTCTGAGAAAGAACCCACACATAACAGTCTCTCAAAGAACTGGAGCCTTCAGGGGAAAGAGTTCCCAAAACCTGCCGTAACGACAAAGAATATGAAAATAAAAGCAACTTTTTCCTCCAAAGAAAGAGAAAGTGAAGTCGATCAGTCATGTCCGACTCTTTGTGACCACATGGACTGTCGCCTACCAGGCTCCTCCATCCATGGGATTTTCCAGGGAAGAGTTCTGGAGTGGGTGCTGTGTCCCTCTCCAGGGGATCCTCCCAACCCAGGGATCCAACCCAGGTCTCCCGCATTGCAGGCAGACACTTTACCATCTGAGCCACAAGGAAAGCCAGATCCTCTGTCTATGGGATTTTTCCCAGGCAAGAATACTGGTGTGGGTTGCCATTTCCTTCTCTTTTCACCCCCCAAAAAAGAAGGACATATATCAAATGTTAAACAGTAAAAGAGAAGAACTGAGGAAGATTTACAGTATCTTTCATTCTTTCAATTTTACTGCATTTTTAATTATTACTAGTGATCAAAGATTACAGATAAACAAAGATATTTCCATTTGAAACTAATCACAGTCAATATAAGGTGTAGGCTTCTACTATCATCCAAGTAAAAAAATGTATTAAATTTTTCAATGCTCTAACAAAATGTTTTACTTCAATGAAGTAACTTTTAGTTTAAAAATACATACTTGTTTAGTATCAGCATCAATAAGATCAAAGAATGCTCGAATTGTAGTCAATTGCAATTGTTTACACCTGAAGAATAAAATGTTACAAATGAAACTTTCTTTAAAAATATACTTTTGATACAAACATAAATAACTTTGATAAAAAACAAAAAATTAATGGACTACAGACATTTCTTTTAATGCGGTGAACTCTAAAATTATTTAACAAATCATTATTTTTAAGCATACATCTTTTTTTTTTTAAGCATACATCTTAAAGCTGAAACCTATCTAAATAAAGTAAATTTAACTTTCCCAGATATTTCAGAGTAGAAGTATCCAGCTGCTCTGTCTTCCCTAAATCTCCATGTCTACCCTGGACACAGGCATATTGTCTGACCCATCTTCACATGTCTGAATGGTTGTGTTCCTGACACCACTGATTGCACAGCCAGAGGAAGGTGAAAAGAGAATCTTTAAGCCAATGGACACAGAGATAAGGTACTAGGGTTTATGTATTTCCTGCCCCTTATTTAATCTATTTATTTATATTAAGCATAAATAACTCCTACTTGGTTTTCCATGTGCTGCTCCAGAATAATCAATGCTGCAATAATCAAGTCCCTGAGTTTGGTGACTGGCCAAGGGTCTTTGATTCTGCCCAACCATGATAAATCCCAAAATTTTGACATTTGACATTAGCTTCATTTGAGACTGATGCTACTGGTTCTTCAAGCGATGGTTTTACAGGTTGCCAAGGACACCTTGGTCAAACCAAGACAAGAACAAAGGTTGAAATTCTAACCCCTAAGTTAATCTTTCTCCCAAGCCCTTATTTATTTATAGAGAAAGCTCTAAGAAAGATAACAAACCAATCTATTCACTCATGAGAAAAGAGGACCATCACAAACTGCCAAAGTAAGTTATATTAACTTACCACACAATGGAGAGGTGGTCTGTTGAGACCCATGTCTTAGGCACTGCTGAACTCTAAAAGGAAAGAAACAAAATCATAGTTAAGAAAAGCACACTTGTTATTCTCCAACAGCCTTAAAATTCTTATAGGCTAGTATTTAGAAACATATAACATTAGTTTCACTATTTTATGATGCACAGACATTTTAAAATGTCTTATAAAAAGGTGACCCCCCCAAAAGAGGTGACCCCAAAATATTACAATATTTCCTGCATAAAATAACTCTCTTTGTCATTACTACTTAGTCAAGCTTAAATTATTCTTTAAAAATTATTAAAACATCTACAGGTTACTTACTGAAGTTTAATGTCTAACTCCTCATTACTCTAATAAGAGGCTGAGTTTATAAATTTTTAATAAATCATAGTGTATGTATAAATTATAATAGATACTTCAGTAATTTCAGTTCTGATTAGACTATCACTTAATAAATTCTAAGATGTTAATTCTAATCAGGATATATCTGAGAGATACCTAGGCCTGGGCAGACTTTATTCAAAATAAATATGCCTAATCACAAAACTGCCAAATCAGACTTTTATAAGTGGGGTACAGATTTTCATTAAAAAAAAAAAAATCTCTAGATGATTAGCAATATATACTACTGGTTAGAGACAGAAGGGCAAAAGCCTAGTAAAAAATGTAAGTTTTCAGAAGGTTTCCTAACAATGACCAGCAACATCCAAGAACTAGAGAATTTTTTGATACAAGGTAATGACCTCCTCATGAATGAACAGCATCTTACATACAATGGGGGAATATTAAGTAAATCTAATATTATTTTTCATATCATCTCTCTCTCTGCACTGTCAAAGACACAAAGAGATGCTCTCCCTAGAAATGTCAAAATAAAATGAAAATAGGAAACTAACAATGCTATGTGTGATAAAATTTAAAGGCCTAACATGCCTTTTTAATTTAAAAAAAAAAGTTATTTATAACTTCTAAGGAGTCATTGAGTCATTGTAACCCTGGCACTCTGCAAATAACAATGTGTATTTGGGTTCCAGGTTCTACAGTTGAAGGAAAATCTACAGCTTACTAAATGAACTTACAGATATTAGGTATCTTATTTAGGAATTACTGCTGGCAACTTACTTTAAAAACTGAGACAACCAGAGTTCACTGTGGTTCTAAGGTTTCATTAGATCCTCAGTAAAATGAGAACTCACTGTAGACATAATTTACTATTAACTAAGACACAAAGCTAATTTACTTTCATTCAATCTAATATCTGTGTTAGAGCTAAAAAAAAAAGGAAAGTCAACATAAACAATAAAGGTAGTTGCTCACAATCTTTGCGGTAGCTAGAGTGCATATTTCAGTCTCTTTACTCTAGGTGTGACTAAGTACTAACAGTGTGTAAAAAAGAGGGAGAAGGCCACTGTCAGACCTGACTGCTCTGCCTTTATGCTTTCTCCTCCCTTCCTGTGGCTGAAACAGTGATGATTAAAGCAATCTTTTGGGTAAGGCATTCAAGAAGGGGGAGCCTGAGTCCCTTACTGAGCCTCCTTCATAAAACCACCCACCACTTAAATACACACCTAGGGCAGTTAAATGAGCAAAATGTAAAATTCTACTGTTTAAGTGCCATTATCTGCATAAGTGAACATTATAGAAGTTTGATCTACCATACTAAAATAACTAAGGGTGAATGGTTTTTTCCCCAATGGGTTCAATGTCATTTAACTGGTCTCGAGATAATCATTAAAAAATTACTTCTTAATAATTGTTTTTTTAAGGAGAATATACATGTAGACATATAAAATACTTAAGATTATTGAGAGCTAAAAACTAAATAATGAAATATTTAAAAGCTAAATAAAACTCAGATTATACAATAACCAGCTTTACATTCCATAATAAGTGAAATATATTTTCATCAGAGACAAAGATACACAAGTTGCCTTAAACACAATACATTAACAAATCGATTAGAAAAGCATGTGCACACACACCATTAAAAAAAACAAATTCTTTAAAAGCTGTAAAAGAGGGTATCAATACAGCATCACGCTCCAGATCAAGTCTAGGCAATAACTTATATCCAATTTTATATGACTAAAACGTCTATTTTTACTAAGAATTTCATATTTAGAGTTTCGAGAACTAGAATATATCTGCCCAAAATATTTCAGCAGCAAAAAACCAGATTCATACCAACAATGAGCTTAGAGAGGTTTACCAATAAGTAAATTAGTACTAATTAGTTCCAAAGCTATTACGGCTATATCATAGCTCCTCCAGTAGTAAGAAAATGGTTGATAAGGGCAGAACAGCCTAATAATTTTTGTTCTATATAGCATTCAATATTTACTTAATGAATAGCAATTTATGGAAGAGCAATAGTAGTTAAGTTGAGCAAAGGCATATCTATGAAGAGAACTATGAAACAAAGAACTATCATCTAAAAAGAAAAAGGAATGCTATGAATTTTCTTTTTAGAAATTAAATTGAGTTATATTTGGAGACAATGTGTAGACTGAGTTTAAAAATTAAGCTCTTAACTGAAGACTTCAAAGACTTCAAAATACAAAAATAATGTAAGTCCTAAAAAGAAACCTGAACTTATTTTACAGAAACTATGTATCCCAGTTAAAGATCAAATACCTGATGTGCTAGCAGGGAAGAATAAGAAGCAAGTTTATTTATCAGGTTTCTATCTATACTTTGATACTCCATCAGGGCTCTATCTATACTTTGATACTCTATCAAGTATCAATCACTCAGTCGTGTCCAACTCTTTGCAACCCCATGGACTGTAGCCCACCAGGCTCCTCTGTCTATGGGGTTCTCCAGGCAAGAATACTGGAGTGGGTTGCCAGTTCCTTCTCCAGGGGAATCTTCCCAACCCAGGGATCGAACCCTTGTCTCCCACATGGCAGGCAGATTCTTTACTGTCTGTGCCACCAGGGAAGCTACTATCAAGTATCAAAGCTAAATTTAAAATTTTAAAACCAGTAAACCTTCATTCAAGTATAAAATTCAAGAGTATGTGAAACGTTTGATCTACTACTGTTGTGTATAGCATACCACTGAGATACACCAACGGCCCTTGGATTTCAGCCCACACTTTCTCATACTTAAAACTCTAATCAATGGATAGGCAATTACTTTGAACAAGAAACAATCGTCTTATATAAGAATGATTTGCATGAAGTTTCTAACATTTTTTTCACTTTCCATGGATTTAAGTATCCATGTCTCTGCCTTCCCAAAATAATAATATTCATTTTTCCATATCTCTCTCCTCTCACACACACATGCAAACATGTACACACATTATACTACAGCAACTAAGCAATCATTTCCAACCAACCACATATCACTTCTCCTTTCATGCCCCACTGTGACCATCATGTTACTACTTCAGTAGAATCTTTAAAAAAGATTACCACAACAGATAAGGCACTGGTATGATGGCTTAATTTTGGTAGAAAAGTCAGTCCTGAACGGACTTGGTAATCCCGGAATCCTCCAGCTACAGAAAGTGTGGTTAAATTTATCTGTCTGGCATTTAAAATCCAATAGTTGTTTACAGTCATATAAAAATCTGGTGGGAAATAAAAAAGACATACATTAAAAGTTAGCAACCATTCCCTGAAACAATAACCTATCTAGGATACTAATATTAAACTGAATTTCTGTTTAAGCCATATGAATTGTCTATAAACAATGCCATCCACATTTCCCTTTGAGTAAAATCAGTTATCTTTACACATATTCTACTTCCCCCAGCAGAGTACAAATACTGAGTTAGTAAACATATCAATAAAAAAAAAAAAAGATAACCCAATTTTACTAGCTTTGACAAGTCTATAGCAAATAGGTCTCTACATTCCACAAGGATGCTTTTTTTTCACGAGCCACATAACATAGAAACACCCCAAATTCTTCCAAAGATACAAATTTACTACACTAAGGAGCTGTAGATCTTCCTAATCATGGCTGTGTCCTTGTTTATAAGGGCTCAGTAGCTTTTTACTGCAGCTACTATAGTACTGGTGACCACACAAAGTGCTATTTAAGTTCTTAAAATATCATCTATCAGGGCAGTGACAGTCACATTATTCTTGGGACTCTACTGTAGAAAATCTGATGTTTAAGAAGATTCTATTTATTTAGTTTAACAAGCAGTTTCAAAGGGAACTACTTGGGGATAGATTTTTCCACTTTATCTATGGAAGATGAGAAAAATTTGGGCGCCAGAGCATGAGATGGCTGGATGCATCACCGCCTCAACGGGCGGGAGATGGTGAAGGCCAGGGGAGCCTGGTGTGCTGCAGGCCGTAGGGCTGCAAAGAGGCGGACAGGACTGAGGGGCTGAGCAACAGCAACAAGGACGCCTCGGAGCCGGACGCTGGCTGATGGCAGCGCAGGGAGAACGTATCTCTGTGGGCATCTGCGGCACAGGGAGAGCAGGTCACTGAGCTCTCCTCCTTTACTTCCCACACACATTCCATCCTGCATCACAAGGACCTCCTGCGCACATCCAAGTTCTGTCTGTGCCTCAAGCAGGGCCACCCCTGGCCACAGTTCAAGCTCAGGATTGCACATACCTGTCCTCAAGACAGATCCAAAGAGGGGCTAAGGAAGTGAGCTTGAGGCATATGGACGAGAAAAGTCTGAAAGACTGGCTACCTGGATCATGGTCCAGAAGTAAAGGTACAACCTCTAAGTGGGGAGGCTGTTTGCCCTGTACACTCCACACCTGTGTGTGTGTGGCAACACCAGAGCAGGGCCCTCTAAAGTGCAGAGCCCAGCGCAAGGCTTCCTTTCTCCCTATTTAAGGACAGTATTTCCAACAAGTACAAACAGGGAATCTACTTCTGCGCATAATATGGGTCTCCTAAAAACTTAAAAACCTATCATCCTTTGAACTTTTCCTTTTTTATACTAATTATGGCTTTATGCAATTAAAAATAAATACAAAATAAATGGCAAAGTGAAAGTCGCTCAGTCGTGTCCAACTCTTTGCGACCCCATGGACAGAATACTGGAGTGGGTAGCCTTTCATTTCTCCAGGGGATCTTCCCAACCAGGGATCGAACCCAGGTCTCTAGCATTGCAGGCAGATTCTCTACCAGTGAGGCACAAGGGAAGCCCAAGAAGCTTGCTAATTACTGGAAAGGCACCTTGATCCTAAGAAGCACTTTCAGCCTAAGCCAGTGGTCCCCAACCATTTGGGAACCAGGGACAGATTTTGTGGAAGACAATTATTCCATGGACCAGGATGGGGGGGGGGGTGGTTTCAGAATGAGTCAAGGGCATTACATTTATTCTGCACTTTATTTCTAGTATTATTACATCAGATCCACCTCAGATAATTGGGCATCCGATCCCAGAGGGTGCGGAAACCTGGTCTAAGCCATTTAGAGGCAGACCATAAGTATCCTTCAAAGACACTAAGACCTGACTCTCTTGACAGTTCTTTCCTCAAAGAGATTTTTAAAAAGGATTTTGAGTAATTCTAATATAACTGGTAGGGCTCATCTACATATACCACATAAAATGCAGTAAGAGAAAGAAATCTTGATTATGATGACAAGCATTATGACTATGTCTTTAATTTTTTCTAAACCTATTATAAATAATAATTCATAATTATTAGAATCAGGAAGGCATATTTAACTTCAATACAAAATTAAAATTTTTATTCAAAGAGTTCTACAGGCAAAGTTTTAAATATAATAAGGAGAAATATCAACCTTCTCTTTAAGTATTACTGCACCAGATATCTCAGCAAATAAGTTACTCCTTGGCAATGTTATGCTGCGATGGGTGTTTTGGAAAGCTACTTTGGTTAGGAGTCCTTAGGGTATGCGTCTCACTAATCTATAAAAAAAATTTTCAGCACAATTAAGATGATGCAAATTTTTATAGAATAAGAAGCTGTACAAATTTACTGATCAGGAAAAATAATTATTTCTTTCTAAAGATTTTCTTCTACACATACAATATTCCAATAAGCCATGAAGACAATACTTGACTTTAATAAAAAGCTGAGAGAGTAGGCATTTAATTCTTATTCTCCAACATTATCACTATTTAATTAGATGACAGCAATCATAAACTCCTGTTCTTCACTCAAAATTCTCTGCAAAATTACAGTATTACCCATAGTTTTATTTCCTCTGTTATCATAATATAACTCAATTCAGAGGCAGCATATGCAAAGGGTAAAAGCACAGGCCCAGAAACAAGCTTGCCAGTGTCAAATACTGGCTCCACTATTTTCTTGCTATGTGATTTTGGGCAAGAATTTATCCTGGCCTCTTTTTTTCTATCTGTGAACATGGCTATAATAATGGTAGCTACCTCAAAGGACTGCCCTAAAGATCAAATGACCTAACAGTCATGCAGTTCTTGCCACAATATCCAAAATATAAGAGCTCTATAAATGTTAGCAATCCTAACTCATCTCATCATATAAAGTGTTAGCAGACCTATTTATTTAAAAAAAAGGCACTTCTACTATTTTACCTAAATGCATGTATTTTGAATAGAGTAGCCAGAAGAGTTAACAAAACACAGAAATATAAATACACTTCAGGAGACTGGGAGTCAACCTCAAGAACAACTAAGCTGAAGCCCAAAGGCCTAGAGGCTGTAGGACACATGCCATCCATGCTAACATGCAACAGGCAGAGGAAGCTAACTTTAGTTATGAGTCTTAAGCTGAAAGTCACAAAAAGAGATGCTCAGAATTGGAAGTGCTGATTTAAACCTAAGCTGCTTCACACATGGATAAACCTGTAGCATACTCTAAAGGGAGTAGCTGCAAAGATTTGTTTAATCCTAAACAACAATGGGGAGGTCAGTTAGTGTTTATGTAACAGTACCCACCTGTAATGAAACGATCTAAAGGCATCACAGGAGCAACATGAGGTGTGGCTTGTGTAACAAGAAGATTGATCAGATCTTGTTTAAAATTTTTCAGTGTAAGCAATGCTCTTGCAACAAGGCCGCCCATAGAATGACCGATTATTGCCACACTTTTTGGAGCAAATTCTTGACCCTATTAAAAAAAAAAATCACCAAGGCATGATTAAGGATTAGAATCACAGTAAACATAATAAATACTTCTCTCAACATATAAGCAATTTTATTGAAAAAAGAATAATAAACTATTTATATAATCTCCCTTAATAAGACAGAAATACATTTTCATACACTTGTAATTAGTATATACATACTGTTTTGCATTCTGCAAGCATTTTTAAAAGTTAGGCTTTGGTTTTCTGAACCAAAATCAAAACACTTGGTCTAGCAAATCATGTTTTTACCATTTGTTATATTGTATTTAAGAGGTATGATTACATTTGGTGTATATCAGAATATTAGATTTTATAGGATATATAAAGTCAGATCACTTATTTGAAAGCGGAGGTATCACAAAAAAGCCACAACTATTCCAGTTGCCATAGCAATGTACTATTGCATCATATGGATATATCTTATCTCATCAAATTATTTCTCTATTGTGGGCCTGGGCTGAAAAAGGAGTCAGCAATTCACATTTTTTCACTGATAATTACATATTTTAATTTTTAAAGTATTTCTTTTTAAAAAATCTTTTCTATCTCCATATAGTATCCTCGGTTCCACTACCAAACTTCTGTTCATCACTTTCCGCACTGATCCTTCATCCAGGCCTTCTCTCCTGTTACTATAGTCTGGGCCTCATGCAGAACCAGAGTTCACAGAATAGACCTGAGACTGCTATCCTTAAGACTGACTGTATTCAAGGTTGGCTCTGGTTTGCTGTCTGGGACCACAGACTTTGGAAGGGCTCCCATCATTTCCTAAATGATAACAGTGGCTCATACGGAAACTGCTTTGTAAACACGGTTTATGTTGAACGCCTTCGGCCTTATTTTTGTTGGGATTTTGGCACACGGGAGGCACAGGCACCAGGTGTCCAGGTGACTGGCCCTCAGGAAAACCTTGGCTACTGAGCCTCCAGGGAATGTCCCTCACAGATGACACTGCGTGCCTGTCACAAGCGTTGCCGCAGGAATTAAATGCACCCAGAGTGACTTTCCTGCAAAGGGACACTGGGAAGCTTCACCTGGCTTCTCTGGACTTCACCCCATGCACCTTTTCTCTTTGCCAATTTTGCTTTATATCCTTTCACGGGAGTAAACCATAACCATGAGAACAACTATACGCTGAGTCCTGTAAGGCCTCCTGGAGAAACATCAGCCTGAGGATGGTTCTGGTGATCTTCCGAAACATACTTGATCTTAGCAAAAGCCAAACTCTACATATGTGCTCTGAAACCTATCCCCTTTGGCCTTCTCAAGGACAGCACTCTGGCAATTCTCACTTTCTTCCTGCATTATTGTTTCTGTTTATTAGATCATTCTCACTAGTATATAAATATGGTCTTCCCCACTGGCTCAGAGGGCAAACAATCTGCCTGAAATGCAGGAGACACAGGAGATGTGGACTCAATCCCAGGTCAGGAAGATCCCCTGGCGGAGGAAATGGCAACCTACTCCAGTATTCTCATCTGAAAAATGCCATGGACAGAGGAGCCTGGTGGGCTACAGTCCAAAGGGTCACAAAAAGTCAGACACAATTGAGAACTAAGCAAAAATAACTACTAGATCATTCTCACTAGTATGTAAATATACTGTTATTCTCTCTTAAAAAGTAAAAACTTTATTTTTACTTCTACTTTAGCAACCACATCTTTCTTTATGTACTATATATATATGTATATATATATAGTACATAGTATATATATATAGTACATAGTATATATATATACTATTTTGAAGAGCAAAACTCTTCAAAAACAGTTGTCTGCACAGTACTTGCTGTCTCCAATTTCTCAAACACCCTTAAGCCCATTCTGTTCAGGTTTTCCCCTGCAACACTCCTTTAAAACTGCACTTACCTGGTCACCAAGGAATCTAAAGATCAATTCTCAATCCTCACCTTAGTTGACCTATCAATGGCAATTTACATAGCTGATCACTTCTTCCTCTTTGAAAATGCTTTGCTTGGTTTCCTTGATGAGACACTCTTACGGTTCTCCTCTTACCTCACTGACTGCTCCTATTTAGTCCCTTGCTGGTTGCTTCTTATCTTCCCTCATCTCGTAATACTGGTGTGACTCAGACCTCAGTCCTTAAATATCTTCTTTCACATCTTGAACCCATTAGTGATCTCATCCAGTCTCATGGCTCTAACTACATCTCAGTCCCATTCAGTTCAGGCACTCAGTCATGTCCAACTCTTTGCGACCCCAGGAACTGCAGCACGCCAGGTCTCCCTGTCCATCACCAACACTGAGTTCACTCAAACTCATGTCCATTGAGTCAGTGATGCCATCCAACCATCTCTTCCTCTGTCTTCCCCTTCTCCTCCCGCCTTCAATCTTTCTGAGCATCAGGGTCTTTTCCAATGAGTCAGTTCTTTGCATCAGGTGGCCAGAGTATTGGGAGTTTCAGCTTCAGCATCAGTCCTTCCAATGAACACCCAGGACTGATCTCTTTTAGGATGGACTGGTTGGATCTCCTTGCAGTCCAAGGGACTCTCAAAGAGTCTTCACCAACATCACAGTTCAAAACCATCTATTCTTCGCACTCAGCTTTCTTTATAGTCCAACTCTCACATCCAAACATGACTACTGGAAAAACCATAGCCTTGACTAGATGGACCTTTGTTGGCAAAGTAATGTCTCTGCTTTTTAATATGCTGTCTAACTACATCTATATGCTGTCAATCCTCAAGTTATTATCTGCAGACTGGATCTCTTCTCCTGAACTCTAACCTTAAACTACAACTGCATGCTAGCTACACTTGGGATGTCTAAAATGTACCTTAAATACAATCTGTCTAGAACTGAACTCTTAATATCCTTTAGATCTGTTCCCCCTACATTTCTCCCCACCCTGGTTAATGATAATTAAATTCTTTTAGTTTTCCTAGTTTGAAATGAAGTGAAGTGTTAGTCTCTCAGTCATGTCTGACTCTTTGCGACCACATGGACTGTAGCCCACCAGGCTTCTCTGTCCACAGAGTTCTCCAGGCAAGAATACTGGAGTGGCTTGCCATGCCCTTCTCCAAGGGATCTTCCTGACCCCTGGGCTGAATCTGGGTCTTCTGCATTGCAGGCAGATTGCTTACCATCTGAGCCACCAAGGAAGCCCTTTTTCTAGTTTGGGTCATCCTTAACTCTTCTTTTTCTCTCACCTCTTCTTTTTCTCTCACCTCCATACCTGAACTGCCAGCAACTCCTGTTGCCTTTGAGATTTATACCAGTCTGACCATTTCCCATCATCTCCACTGCTATCAACTTGATCCAAACCAAAATTATCTTGCCAAAATTACTTCAATAATTTCCTAACTGGCCTCTCTACTTCTACCTTTACATCCCTTCAGTTTATCCTCAAAAGCACTCTGACACCAAAATGACACTGTTATAACCTAAAACAGGGCTTCCCAGGTGACTCAATGGTAAGGAATTTGGCTGCCAATGAAGGAGACACAGGTTTGATCCCTAGACCAGGAAGATTCTACATGTTGCAAAGCAACTAAGACCGTGGGTCACAACTATTGAGCCTGCGCTACTGAAGCCCGAATGCCTAGAGCCCATGCTCTGCAACAAGAGAAGCCACTGCAATGAGAAGTCCGTGCACTGCAGTGGAGAGCAGTCTCTGCTCTCAACGACTACAGGAAAAGCCTGAGCAGTAACAAAGACCCAACACAGCCAAAAATAAATAAAAATTAAAAAGAAAAAACCTAGAACAGAACATGCTATTCCTTTGTTCAAAAACTGCTTTAGTGGCTTTCTGTATCATTTAATAAAAGGCAAAATTCTTAAAACTGCCTGCAAGACTCTACAAACTGCCTTCCTCCCAAACTTTCCTTCTACTAACTTACTGTTCCAGCCATATCAGACTCGTTTTTCCTGAAATACAGGACCCATCTGTTTGCCTCATATCTTTGTTCCCTCTTCCTGCAGTACTTTCCCTAGGTATCTAAATAGGCTAAGTGAGTAAGTAAGTGAAGTTGCTCAGTCGTGTCCGACTCTTTGCGACCCCATGGACTGTGGCCCACCAGGCTTCTCTGTCCATGGGATTCTCCAGGCAAGAATACTGGAGTGAGTTGCCACTTCCTTCTCCAGGGGATCTTCTCAACCAGGGATCGAACCTGGTTCTCCTGCATTACAGGCAGATGCTTTAACCTCTGAGCCACCAGGGAAGCCATTCCCTCATATCCTTCAGTTCAGTTCAGTCGCTCCGTCGTGTCCGACTCTTTGCGACCCCATGAATCGCAGCACACCAGGCCTCCCTGTCCATCACCAAATCCCAGAGTTTACTCAAACTCATGTCCATGGAGTCGGTGATGCCATTCTAGCCATCTCATCCTCTGTTGATCCCTTCTCCACCTGCCCCCAGTCCTTCCCAGCATCAGGGTCTTTTCCAATGAGTCAACTCTTTGCATAAGGTTGCCAAAGTACTGGAGTTTCAGCTTCAGCATCAGTCCTTCCGATGAACACCCAGGACTGATCTCCTTTAGGATGGACTGGTTGGATCTCCTTGCAATCCAAGGGACTCTCAAGAGTCTTCTCCAACACCACAGTTCAAAAGCATCAACTTTTTGGCGCTCAGCTTTCTTCACAGTCCAACTCTCACATCCATACGTGACCACTGGAAAAACCATAGCCTTGACTAGATGGACCTTTGTTGGCCATGTAATGTCTCTGCTTTTTAATATGCTATCTAGGTTGGTCATAACTTTCCTTCCAAGGAGTAAGCGTCTTTTAATTTCATGGCTGCAATCACCGTCTGCAGTGATTTTGGTGCCCCAAAAAATAAAGTCAGCCACTGTTTCGACTGTTTACCCATCTATTTCCCATGAGGTGATGGGACCAGATGCCATGATCTTAGTTTTCTGAATGTTGAGCTTTAAGCCATCTTTTTCACATTCCTCTTTCACTTTCATCAAGAGGCTCTTTAGATCTTCTTCACTTTCTGCCATAAGGGTGGTGTCATCTGCATATCTGAGGTTATTGATATTTCTCCCGGCAATCTTGATTCCAGCTTGTGCTTCCTCCAGCCCAGCGTTTCTCATGATGTACTCTGCATACTAGTTAAATAAGCAGGGTGACAATATACAGCCTTGACGGACTCCTTTTCCTATTTGGAACCAGTCTGTTGTTCCATGTCCAGTTCTAACTGTTGCTTCCTGACCCGCATATAGGTTTCTCAAGAGGTAGGTCAGGTGGTCTGGTATTCCCATCTCTTTCAGAAACTGTCCACAGTTTATTGTGATCCACACAGTCAAAGGCTTTGGCATAGTCAGTTTGTATCAAATTGTCTGTGTCTCAACAGAGGTCTTCACTGGATGTCCTTATTTATAATTGTAGTCTACCTTCAACTACCTATCTCCCTTTTCTGTTTTTAATTCCTGATATTTATCACAAGATAGTATGCATTTTTCTTATTTATGATGTTTTCTGCCTGCCTCTCCCTATTGGAACATAGTTCCATGAGGGCTTAGATTTGTTTTATTCATTCCTATATTTGCATGCAGACTCACATGATGAACAAATGTGGTTTCTTCCATCTAAAATGTCCTCTCACTTTCCCATACCCAAGTCATATCCATCCAACAAGACTGAGTTGTCTCTTAACCCCTATTATACTTGCTTGTAACAGAAATAATACTTTCTAAAAGCCTCAGTTTAAAAGAAAGTCTATTAGTTCTATTAAAAATGTAACATGTATTTGTTAGAGAAAACAAGACAACGAAAAAAAGAAGAAAAACAAAGCACCTAATACATAACATTAGAGACACAATTGTTTTTTGGGAAAATCATTTATGGAATGAAATCTCATTTTGAAATTCCATCTAATTTATCTTACCTATTAACTATCAAATATGTGAAAGGTTCTGCTTCATCTTACGGCTTGTTTCATCCTACAATAAGTGTAGATTTAAGCTAAAAAATATTTGAAGTAATTTTAAAATGCTGACTTAGGCGACGAATCAAGACACCTAAACTTCATTTTCAAGATACACTGGAATACCAATGACTGGATGACTGTAGCTTTACAGTTAAGTCTTGAATCAGGCAATGCAGGACCTCCAACTTTGTTCTTTTCCAAGATGGGTCTTTTTTTTAATTATCTGTTGCTTTGATTCTTTCCACATAAGCATATCAATTAAAAAAAAAGAACTACTGGTATTTGATTTGTTGAGCATTAAATCTATTGGTCTATCTGGGGAAAATTTACATCTTAACCTTGAGTATTCTAAACCATAAAGTTGGTCTGTTCATTTATTTTGGATTTCTTTAATTTTTACCAGAAGGCTCTGCAGTTTTCAGTGAACAGATCTTGCACATCTTTCACTAAATTTATCTATAAGATTTTTTATACTACTGTAAATGCATTTCAAAACTTCACCTTCCATTTGATCACTGATTTCTAAATACTGACCATTTACCCGTGATTCTGATAAAATCACTTATGAATCCTAAAACTATACTTCTAACTACTACTTTAATCTTACAAATTCTGATGACATCTTTTTATTTTAATTCAATTCAAAACATTTTCAAATTTCCCCCGTGATTTTCTTTTTAACCTCTGGGTTATCTAGAAGTCATTTCCAAACATTTGAGGATTTTCCAGATATCTTTTTGCTGACATTTCTAATTTAATTCTGTTATGTTCAGAAAATAAACCCTGTATGACTTCAGTCCTGACACTGAGACTTGTTTTATGGCTTGACATGTGGCATATCTTAGTAAATGTTCCGTGTGCACTGAAAGAGGTCATAGCCTGTTCAGTTGTTGGGTGTGACCTATAAATATCAGTAAGCCCAGCTAGTTTCTACAGTTGGTGGACATGTTCTATAAATGTCAACAGGTCAAGTTGATTAACAGTGTTAAAATCTTGTATACTTTACTGGTTTTCTATTTATTTCATCAATTATTGAGAGAGGATTGTTGAAATTATCAACTCTAATTGTGAATTTACCTATTTTTCCTCTAGTTTGTTAATTCTGCTTCATCAACTTGGAAGCTCTGCTACTAGCTGCATCCTCCCTTGAGATACTTTGGCCTTTCTGATGAGCTGACTCTTACTACCAAGAAATGTCCCTCTTTTTCAATGTAATGTCTTTCGTCCTAGACTCTATTTAGTTGATACTAAGATTGCCATGCTAACTTTCACACTATCTGTATTTGTATGTGTATTTTTTCCATTCCTTTACATTTCTTAATCAGGATTTTTAAATCTAAAATGGCTTTTGCTTTCCAGTACTCAGATTAGCATAGTTTGGTGGGTCTTGTTTTTTAATCCAGTCTGACAAGATCTTCCTTTTAATTGGAGTGTTTAATTCATCTACAATTGATATAATTATTGATAGCTGCACTGAACTCTATTATCTTGCCATTTGTTTTCTGTTTGTCCCATCTGTCTTGTGGTTCTTTCCTTTCAGATTGAATACATTTTATTGTACTTCACTGATACTGCATTTTTAACAAATCAAAGGTCTATGGCAACTTTGCACTGAGCATGTCTATTTGTGCCATTTTCCAATAATATTTATTCACTTTGTGTCACATTTTGGTAATTACGGCAATGTTTCAAACTTTTCCATTTCATTCCTTATGGTAAGCTGTGTGATCACTGACCTCTGATGTTACTATTATGAAGGTTCAAATGATGGTCAGCATTTCTTAGCAATATTTTAAAATTAAGGTACGCACATTTTTAAAAACCTGACGCTGTTATACACTTAAGAGTCCACGGTATACTGCAAACATAACTTTGTATGAACTAGACCCCCCAAAATTCATGAGACTTGCCTAACTGCAGTGTCTGCTTTATTGCGGCAGTCTGGAACCTAACCTGCAGCATCTCTGAAGTAGATCTGTATTTCTCCTCCATTTGCTCTTTAGCTACATCTCCTTTTTTGTTGTTGTTACTCTAGAAATTACAGTATACAACCTTATCAGTCTATCATGAATTAACATTATACTTCTTACTGTAGTGGAATAATTCTATCTATTCCTCTTCCTATCTTTTCACCATTAGTATATATTTTCCTTCTAAATAAATTATAAACCTCATAATGAATTCATTACTGGAAATAAATACTTTAACCTTTTAATTCTGAACCAATTAGAGACACTGGCGCTCTAATCCGAACCCTTCCTCCTTGGTGTGCTATTGCCTTGTATTGCCCTGTGCATACAATAACGTAGCACTCAAAGACTGAAAGAATCAAATCTCGAGAGCTCCTATCTACGCCTAGGTCTTAGTTCTCTTCTTCTACTGACCACAAACCTAGCCATGTCAGTAGTTCCAAATGCCAGCCCCTGCCTTATTCAGCTTAGTGACGTCAATTTGCTCTGTTTCACCTCTAAAAATTTTACCCCATGGTCTGGAAAATGCTTCCAGGCAGAAAGCTGGGCACTCAAGGAGCTCACATCACATGTTTTCCCTCTTTTGGTGATCATAGACCTTTACCATTTGGTTGTCCAACATCTGAAAACATGTGCTTCAGATATTTTCACCAGTTTTATAATTGTTTATATATGGAAGTGGTCTACTCTAGTACTAGTTATTTAGACAATTAGCAGAATTACCAAACTAGAGGAAAAAAATAGGTAAATTCACAATTAGCGTTGATAATTTCAACAAATCCATACTAATGGATTTAGGAAATGCACTGCACTCCTAATCTGTATATAAAGGAAAAAAAATTTGTTTTCCCAAAATTCACAAGAAAGAGTTCTTGTAAACTGAATTTGAATTTCAAAACCCATGACTGAATTCAAAGCAATAGAATTTCACACAAGAAAACCTTTGTGCTACCTTTGCTTCAACCTCTGTGTATGTGTGTTTGTACAAACACAACTCTTTGGACCTCACGGACTGTAGCCTACCAGGCGCCTATGTCCATGGAATTTTCCAGGCAAGAATACTGGAGTAGCAGCCATTTCCCATTCCAGCACATCTTCCTGACCCAGGGATTGAACCTGTATCTCATGCACTGGCAGGCGGATTCTTTACCACTGAGACATCTGGGGAGCTCATGTAAACAAATAATTTAAAATACGCTGAGTCTCTTCAACAAACAAAAAAAGATACCAGTAGGCTGATCACTATTGATCTCCATTATTATCTCATACCTTATAGAGCTTGAGAATTGTTTTAATGCATTCATGCACAAACTTAGTCTGTTTCTGAAGACTTCCACCATACAGTGCCACCAGTTCTTCATTGAAATTCACACTAAAGAAGTCAAAGTGGTACTTGAAGTCAATGTCTTCGGCTTTTCTAAGTGCAATAGAGCCAATAGAACGAACTGCAGAGGAAAAGGATTAAGTGCATATGAAACAAAAATTTTTAAAGTTTCTTCTAAAGCTTCAAAGTCTCTTAACAAATAACTATCTCTCACACTGAATAAAACCTAGTTTAGGGTGACATTCTTAATAACATCAATTTAGAAGAACAAACCCACCTAGCAATTGTGTGTCTTGTTCTATAACTTTTTTAAAATTAAATATAAAGTGAATGGTTCATTCATTCTCTGTTTCCCCTTTAGTAAGGGCAACAACAGCTAAAAGGGAAGAAAGGAATCCTTGAGCAATAAGAAGTAGGAACTTTGTCAAACTTGAGGATTTTAAGAGTAAGAAAATCCTACGAGAAATGTCTGCTCATTACAGCTAATCACAATGGTTTTATACACTCACGGAAGATTTGTCTTTTGTTCTTACACATGACATCACTGTAAGTCAATCTTGTCATGGTCTACCTTCTAAATATTCCCCCAATCAAGCCTTCTTCACCACTTCCACCACTACCTTCCTAATCCAAGCATCATCATCTCTTGCCTGAACTACTCTAATGGTTTCCTAAACAGGCTCTCTGCTTCTACTGTTTAACATTGTGATAAGGCACATATATGTATATAAGTAATATATATATATATATATATATAGTGATAAATATGACATATACTATCCATATATAGTGATAGGTGTATATATATATATACACATGTATATACATATATATAAACAATTTTTTAAATTGCTGGTCTCTTAATTTCAAATGTAATTCCCATTTCCCACAATCATACTCTCTAGATTTTAGGTTTAGTAAACAAAATATTTGTTTGCCACTCCATTTTTTAAACATATATAATTCACAAACTATGTAACTCATTGTGCAAAGCACACAATTTAACGATATTTTGTACAGTCACAGAGGTACACAATCGTTTTCTGCAATCTAACTTCAGAAGTTTTTTAATCACTCCCAAAAGAAAACCCTTTACTCATTAGCAGTTACTCTTCATTCTTCTCTTCCTCCTAATTCCTAGAAAGCACTAATATATATATGTGTGTGTGTATATAAAACTGAATCTCTTTGCTGTACACCTATAACTAACACAACACTGTAAATCAACTATACTTTAATTTTTTAAAAGATCTAAGATAAAAAAAATCAGTAAAAGTTACTTTTACTGTATTAAAAAAAAAAAAAGTTAAGTGGAAGAAGCCAGTCACAGAATAATGTACACCCAGTGATTACAGTGAAAATTTAAGAGTCCAAAATTGGGACTTCCTTGGTGGTCCAGTAGTTAAAACTTGGTGCATCCACTGCAGGGGGCACAGGTTCAATCCCTGGTTGGGAAACTAAGATTCTGCATGCTGAGTGGCATGGCCAAAAATAAAAATAATAATAAAATAAAAAATATCAGCTCCTCTTTAAAAAAAAAAAATTCTTAATAGCCCCAAATAAGTAGAATGAATTAGAGATGCACACTAAAATGCTAAAGCTATAAAGAAAGTAAAGAAAATGACTACCTTAAACTGAGGATTGTGGCTTCATCTAGAAGGAAGGGAGGGAGCTTTAATCAGGAAAGGGCACATAGGGGCTTCCAGGGTGCTGCCGACCTTGTACTTCTTGACTTGAGTATGGCCCCTGGGTACTCACTTTATAATCATTTTTAACCAAATAGCGATAGTCTACACATTTTTCTGTTTATATGTTATACTTCAAGTACAATGATTAAATTTTAAAAATCAGAGTTTATCATTTCCTACCCAAACTCTCCAATAGTTATCCATCACATTTAAATCAAAATTCTAAGTCTCTTCCACAGCTTTTATGATACAGCCTGTGGCTACGTTTCCACCTTCATCACTTTTCACCTCTAGTCTCAGTAGCCTTGAATGTACCGAACACGTTCCTGCTTCCATGTCTTCCCTGCAACAGCACCATACCTCAGTCCCCTGCCACACTCAAGCCTCTGCTCAAAATGTCATCTCCACATACTGGCCACTTCATCGAGTCACCTCTTGACCCTGTCTGTCCTTTATCCCTTACTCGTTTATATTTCTAGCTTTTAACATTACTGGCATACTAATATCTAGAATACTGCCTAATATCTAAAACACTGCCTGGCTCATGGTAGGTGCCCCATAAATACTAGCTAAATAGATAAACATGTAAGTAATTATACTTTGTTGTTGTTCAGTCACTAAGTCGTGTCCAGCTCTTTGCGACCCCATGGACCACAGCACAGCAGGCTTCCCTGTCCTTCACTATCTCCTGGAGTTATACTAAAGGTTGAAATAATTCTATTCTTATTATAGAAAAGAACACGTCATTTAATAACAATAAGAAGGGGATTTTAGCTGAAATTACTTCTACATTGCTTGACTGTTACACTAGGAATAATTGCTATATTTTAATTTGGAATATGTACACAGATCTTCCCCTCAACCCTACCTTTCTGTGTTTGCCTCCATATTTCTAGATCTAATTTAAATAGCTCCAAAAGAAAAAAATCAATCTCCTCTCTTTCTCAGCATAACTTAAACCACCAATTTACTTCTCTAGTCAATGCTTTAGGTTCTGTTTTGTGTACCCTCAATTTCTAACATAAACCTCTTACCTCTACTGATTCCCAAATCCCTATATCATCTATTTATCATCATCTTATCTTCTCCAACTTATTCTCTGCAAAGTGGCTTTCAACTTTTTTTTATATACTTGTCACATACTTCTCTCAGACAAAATGTCGTATATTTGCGTCTCCCAGTATGCATAGTGAAGTAGTTAATGCAGAGTATGTGTCTGAATTAATTCTTTAACTGAATTCACAGCTTTCAAAATTATTTTTGAGACTTACCTTGCTTATAACTTCCAGCATTACCAGGAAGAAAGAGAACAGGAATACCCGTTAAAGGGAGAACTTTGTGCTCTTCAGCATAGGACCCTTCTCCATAAAGATATAATTCATAAGCAGGATAGCGTTTTGCCAGTTTCTTTGGAAGTTCAATTTTCTACAGGAAAGAGAAAGTAATTTCACTTTAATCTGTTTTAGTAATACAATTCAGTCTCACCATACCCAATTCTGAATTATACAAATTTGATTTAGTACAATATAAAAACGTTACTGATGATAAAAACTACACTTAATGAACAACAAAGTTCTACTTTTAGTTTACACATATGAAGCATCTGTCTTGAATTATGTGAGTTTTAAACCATGAAGCCTTCAAGAAAACATAAAATGAGACTACTTAAAATTCTAATAAATAGAAATTACTCAAAATAGCTACTGACAAGTGAAAAATACTGGTTTATGTCAGCATGCTCTATGTTAACATAATTGAAAATGCATTTATTATCAGTTATTAATTATACTTAGAAATTATAAAAGCTTTTCATTATTAAATGAATTCTTTTTTGCTATTTTAAACTGTTTTGTAATGTCTCTCTCCTTTTACTCAGGCCCTATTATATACTCCAAGCTGTTGCATCATTCAAAGGAAAGTAACTTTGTTTTATAATGCAACTTTCCTCTCAACTTAATATGCTTGACCTACAATATGCTAACAAATTATCTGAATCTTAGAGCCATGACTTGGTCAAGACATGGACAGTCTTCTCACCACAAAGATTCCAATGAATTAGCATCTGTTTCAGCTTTCATGACCTGGTGCATGGTTTGTCAGCAAGCCTAAAACTACTCTGCAATTCATATTATTATTTTCCAAATGAGCCAGTAATTGACATTTCTTTCAACAAAATATAAATGAAGTCTTAATGTCATCCCGAAAAGGTAGGCATCTATAAAATTAGTAGTAAAGCATAAGCTCTTCTTCGGCTCCTTTTTTTTTTTTTTTACCCCTAAGGGATAGAGACCATTAAGGGCTTCCCTGGAGGCTCAGACAGTAAAGAATCTGCCTGCAATGCAGGAGACCTGGCTTAGATCCCGGGGTTGGGAAGATCCCCTGGAGAAGAGAATGGCAACCCACTCCAGTATTCTTGCCTGGAGAACTCCATGGACAGAGGAGCCTGGAGGGCTACAGTCCATGGGATCACAAAGAGCTGGACACGACTGAGCAGCCAACACTGAGACTAACTGAGAGGCCATAAAAATGAAACCAGTTACACTGAACAGTAGATATTATTTAAATTGACATCAAGAGATTTAATGATCTAGCAGTAATAGATCCCCTGGAGAAGGAAATGGTAACCCACTCCAATACTCTTGCCTGGAAAATCCCATGGATGGAGGAGCCTGGTAGGCTACAGTCCATGGGGTTGCAGAGTCAGACACGACTGAGTGACTAAACTAAACTAGTAATATGCATGCGCCTGGTAAAAATTTTAACTACTGAGTGAATTTTGAAAATTGCAAATGGGTAATGACTACTGAAAAAAATCACTGTTTTAAAAAGAATAATTCTGATCATTTATGCAAATTCCTGAATATTTGAGGATAGTACCATAAACAATCTGTGCCAATAACACCATGAAAACAACTTCAGAGACTGTGAGCTTCTTGTGTAAGTTACTAGCAACTTTATCTCCTCAAATATTCAAAATACAGAGATACCAATTTGCTTTAAGATGTGTTTATGTACCTCAACTCAAATTAGTTCCAATATTAATTATGCACAGTAAATAATCAAAAATAAAAATGATGTAATATTTTGTTCTTTAGGTGTAAATTATGCAAAAAAAAAAATGAGAGAACAAGGGAACAGTTATCTTAACTCCTTGTAATTTAGCACATTATTTGAGATAGTGGCACACACACAGTAGGTTCTTTTTAGGATGCTGACTAAACAGAGTTTTGAACGAGCTGAAAACTAACTAAGAAGGATAGGAACTATCAAATATATCCAAAAAAGTATTTAATTCCCTGGAGACAGAAAAATAAGCAAGAGAATATTATTTGATAAATTTCATAATCTACTATTATAAAAGCAATTTTATAGTGAGACAATGTACATTTAAAAATAGGACTGCATATAATATGGAGTAGAAAAAAGCATAAAGATGGAAAAAAAGACATAGAACAGAAACATAAAGTGGGAATCATAGGCAATGGCAAAACTGCATTTCCAACAAAACTCAAGTTGGGAGTAAGTGGCAGGAAAAGACAGGAAGGGTATTGCCTAGACTGAGGACAGAAAAGATATAGGTATACAGAAAGGATGATGATTAAAACACAGAAGGTGGTCAAGGAGTTTAAAAAAAGAAAACATTCATAGCAACAGGACTCCAATATATTTTAAATTGATTATTTTAAATGAGAACTCTCCCCCACAAAAGGCTAACAATCCACAGTCCATACTGCTGTCAAGAAATAACCTTGTTAAAACATACACCTTATGTGTCTCCTCACTACACACACAGACAATAAACACTTGAGGGGTCCTTTAAAACCTGGTTCTAATTATTCTTACCTACTTCCTTATAATTTATACATGCCATATTTTAAATGTTTTAATATGTTCCAAAATTCAAGATTCAACAGGATATATACTAAAAAAGCTCTACTACCCCTGGGTTCATTAGTTATCCAATTACTAATCAGAAGGCAACCAGTGTTAGCAGTTTGTGCTTCCAGAAGTAGTTTACATATACAATATACACAAATATAAGCAAATGTGTCTTAGGTTATTTTCTCCTTTTCATTAAAATGATAACATACCACAAATACTACTTATGGAATATATTCTGGTGCCGTCCTACCTTCACAAATGTTCTTTATTCCTGCAATTGTCTTGTTTCTGCACTGTGTGAACCACATACATATCCTACATTGCCCAGTACACAGCCTCTTCTCTATACCTGTTGACTACCCAAGATGAACATGGCAGCTCTCTTCTGTGAGGAGCCTTGTACACACTCTTACAATGAATTATAAATTTCAATACATTATATTTTGCCTATTCATTTCATTCCTGTCTCCTTCATTATATTTTAAAGACAAATTTAAAGGCACAATGTCTGATTTACCTCTAATTCCTCCTCACCCAAATCCCGTATCTAAAATTTATTTACACAGGGAAGTCATTAAATGACATACTAAATAAACAGTACACTTAATAATAAGATAAGTGATTTGCATTTCCCAATATCAGCATTTCCTTTCAGAGAGCAGGTCACATATTTAGAGGCAAATAAATTATTGTATGAAAAAACACAACACAGTTGTTTTCGTCTCAAATTCTACAATTTGGCTAAAATATAAGGCAAAAAGCTTTCAAGGACAATGTGTATTTTGCCTGGTAGGTTTGTGAAATGTTCAACTAACTCTGAAAAAGTGAATCTAGGAAAACCAAAGGTAGAGGATTAAGAGATAATAATAAAAATTTAAATTCAAAACAATTTTTAGAGTTTCAAATTCCTATCCCACATTTTACTTTTAAAATGGAAAATCAAACTGAGCATGTTTCAACCAACGTTTTAAATGCCTCTAAAATTCTGCTAAAGAATACGTAAATGAGAAGTAAAAAAAGAAGAAAAGCATCAAGAGAAAAAAAAAAAAAATCCAATAACTAGGACATTCCATACGCTGATACCAATGTGTGAACAACTAGAGCTTACTATAAAATATAACTAAAAGCAATATAAAAATATGTTTAGAACACTTTAAACAAACAATTGGTTCTTAATAAAAAGTGCCCAGTTATCCAGAAATCTCACTTATACTCAAAATGACTCATTTCTGTAGGCAGCTTCTGCAACCTAGTGTGCACAATAAAATGAAGAGTCAAACACAAATACTGTAGTGAATAAACACTTTTTACACCATAAAGATAAAAATTTACTGAAAATGTGTATCAAAACCCCTGCCACTCTAATATTACAGTACTATCATATTATTAACATAAGTATAAAACCTCAAAAATAAATAAATAAAACCTCAAAACAGCAAAAATAAATAAGACTATTCAACAACAACAAAAAAACCCAAACAGCTCTTTTGCATTAGCTACACTAATTTTCTGTGTCTTTCCAGTCAATATTATGCTGCTTTGTTCCCAACACTAAGTGATTTCTACTACTTGAAATATTAAGATAGCTTCAATAACTGTGGATAATCCAAAAATAAATGGGAATTCGTATTGTATTGTTTCCATTTTAACCAAACTCTTCAATGCAGTACAAAACTAAAACGACCTACCTGAATCTACTGGGAGTTTTCTAATTAAACCAAAGAAAAATAAAAGATTATAAAGGCTCTATTTTCAGTTTTTTTAAAAAATCTAAACTAATAGCCCACATATTTAACTATATGTAGCCTCTGATAAACATAAACCACCATATTCATTTAGAAATTAAAAGACCACTGTAATATGCTAAAATCTGTTCCTTCAATAGCACCTGATATCAAAAGCTTCCATTTCCATATAAGCACTGATCCAAGGTAAATATCTCAAAACAAATCAAATCTGAATTCCATCGAAGGTAAAGATCTCAAAACAAATGAAATCTAAATTTGAATTCTGCCCATGGGAAAGAATGTTCTTCAGCAATTTAAACCTTAAGTAGTTTTAAGATCTAAATAATAGCAGGGTAATCAAATAATAAATAATATTCCTCCATAATGACCTGTACACGGAAACAACCAGGATCTGCATTCCTCACCTCAAAGAATAAATTTTCTATGGTTTTAAATGCATTTTACCAGTATTTATTATAGTACACATACTTTTTATGGTAGGGAGTTATCATTACAATATGTATTCCATAATTAGGAGATGCATTTAGAAAGGAAAGAATCATTCCGGTGAAATTTCTTTGGATGCCTGTGTAATTTGTCACTCTTTTTACAGCTGGTCATGAATGAAATTCTAGAGTCTACCATGCTGAACCGATAAAGCAATTGTGATTGAAAATGTCGAAAGAGGAAAGAAAGGTGGGGGCGGAGAGACAGAAAGAAGGTCCGGGTGTTTTTTAAATTGCAAACACAGTGAGAAAACAAAAACACCACCCGGAAACAGATTTTACATTCAACTGGTCAGGGGCGACTCGCCTCTATACTGGGTGCAAGACGAGGGGGCTCCGCAAAACCTTCCCAAGAGAGAACTGCGTTAGTTCCTCATTTATTCACTCATCAGGTCAGCCTTTCACGTCGACGTAAATCCCTGGAGTCTCTAAAGCAGCCCTGGGAACTATCTACGCAACATATGCTCCGCAGAAGCTTGGTTCCCTTCTAAAAAGCAAGAGCTGGGCAAACTCCTGGGCGAGAAGGGAAGAATTTCGGCGTGTGGGAAGCAGATGAGGGCTGGAGCACCTGTTAGGGGAGGAAGGCTGGGAGGAGGGATTTGGGGAAAGCTTTGGACTGCAACTGCCTCTCCGGGGATGAGGGGCGTTGGGCCCGGCCCTTCTCCGCTTGGGATTCGGGACCGCGAACCAGGCGAGGAACCCGGAGCAACCTCGAAGGCGGGGGGCGGGGAGGATGCTCCGGGAACCATCTATCACGGACCCCGCCGAGAAGAGAGGGCAGAAAGGGCAGGAGAAGGGGACCGCGGGGGGCTGCGAAGTATTCTGGGGCGAAGAAAACAGAGACGAGGTAGGGGGAAGGGGAAGGGAGAGGCGCGGGGAGCCGAGGCAGGGGAAACGCACCGAAGGGTAAGGCTGGAGGGGCCCGAGCCTCGGAGCGGCCAGCGAAGGGAGGGCAGAACCTCACCTGATACTCCGGGTACTCAAACATGTAGCTCATGCTGCACTTATTTTCCTCAAAGCCGAAGAAGACGTCCCATAGCCCCAGGGTGGCCATGAAGACCATGAGGGCATAAAACGCCAGGTTCCAGAGATTGACAGAGTGGTGTAACATGACGCCTCCGCCACCACAGCCGTGGGGCTCACGGCCCTGACTGAGGGAGCAGAAGAACGTCCCGCTGCCCGCGCGGGAGCGAAACCCGAGCAGCGCGCGCCTGCGTGGACGCCCGGCCTGCCCGCGCGCCCGCCGCGCGTTGCGCCTGCGCGCAGCCGCTCCGAAGCCTTCCAGCCCAGCGTCCCCCTGGGAGAGCGGAGGCGGCGTTGGCCGCGCGAGCGCGAATCTGAGGGCTGAGAGAGGAGAGCGCGGAGTGGGCCGGGCTGGGGGGTGAGGGGTGGGGGAGAGGGCGCTAGGGAAAGGAGGGGAGGGGCGGGGCGGGCAATGAGCGGCCGGCTGGAGAGGAAGAAGAGCGGTAAACGGGGGACGAGAGAGGCACGGGAGGGCGCGGGAGTCCTGGAGCCGAGGAGAGGGAAGGACTGGGAGTGGGCGTCTGGTGGGCTAACCTGGAGAGAGAGGGGCGATTAAGGATGGTGAGGCGACCAGGCGTGGGGAGGGGAGACATCAGAGCCCGGGGACCACCAGCTGTCACGTCGCGAACATCTCTCCCTGTGCAGCTTAAAAACCCTAACCGTTCAATTTTGAAACGCCTCAGGCCTCCGCAATTTTCGTTCTCCCAGCGGTGGTGGAGTACATCCACAGCTCTCTGGACCGGTTAGCTTAAACAGAGATCAAACGGCTTTTTCTCCCCATCCTTGACCGCCGACATCGGCCCAGTAGGCTACAGTGCTTAAAAGCACGGGCTCATAAAAAGCCACCAGCAGGTCGACGAGATTCTAGTCTTGGTATAAGATAAAAGCCTGAATCAAACAGCATCGTTGGTCTTTAAACAATGCTACCAAATTTTTCCATTAACACTGATGCAACCGATAGGTATCTGTCGCCAACTTGCCTTACTCCTCAGAACCTCCACCTCTTTGGAAATTAGTTTCACATTAACATATGGAGACAACTTCCCTCAAGCTTCCACTCAGATTCCCTCGAGTGACTTAATTCATTTAAATGAATTTCAGTTTGGTTTTGCACAAAAAGGGGATAAAAAAGTAGCTCAGAAACCATTCATACTCACGTATAGCAGCTTCAAAACACTGAAATTGTTAGGAGTTAGAGTAGCACCCTCTAAAACTGACCCAAGAGCAGATAGGTGTGGTGTGTATGGCTAACTACAAAATTATTCTTATAATTATTTTTGGTACTGATTGAATTTCATTTCACTTGGGCTGATTTTCTGTGCAGATGAAGTGTGGCTATGATACCTAAAATAATGTTAAAACTAAAAGGAAGCTTATAGTTTATCTCATATGATACCGTGATATTCATATGTTCAGAGCACCTGGTGTCTGGGGTGGAATTAGGAATTGGTGCGGGGTATAAGGAGTCATTTGGGAAAGGATTTAAATTATACATTAAAAATGGAGTGCTCAATAGCCTGGGATCTTGCGAACATCACAGGCAAGATATCTGCTCCTCGTTTCCCCTAGCATATCATGATCAGCCCAAATAAACCAAGGGTGAAGTTGCACTCACATCTGTTTATCCCAGTGCCTCAAACTTCATGTACATATGAGTTACTTGGAGATGATAAAGCAGATTCTGAGCTTCCCTTATGGCTCACTGGTAAGGAATCTGCCTACCAAGGTAGGAGACACAGATTCTAGCCCCGGTCCAGGAAGATCTGACGTGCTGCGGACCAACTAAGCCACTACTGTTGCTGAACCTGTGCTTTACAGCCTGGGAACCACAACTACTGAGCCCATGCACGCTGACGTCTGTGTGCCCTGGAGCCCATGCTCCGCGACAAGAGAAGCCACCACAATGAGAAGCCTGCGCGCACCATAACTAGAGAAAAAGCCCCCGCAGCAACCAGGAGTCAGCACTGCCAAAAGTCAATAAATAAATAATTACAAAGCAGACACTGACTCAGGTCTGGAGTAGAACCCAAGATTCTGCATTTCTAACAATCTCCTGGGTGATGCCAGTGATGCTGGTCAGTAGACTACACTTTGAGTAGCCAGAATTTATCCTTCCTGAGAACTCGGCTCTGCAGAGAAAACTCTGAACCTGAGGATGACAGAGCTTACTGTTGTGATGGCTTACATGAGTTGTGGCAACCTGCTGTTTTGATTATCTTCTCAGAAAAGAGAGGCAAAGAGACTCAATGGACTCTTATATTTGTAATCGTTCTAGCACTAACTTTTAACTTCCTTTTTTCCTATTACAAAATTATCCCCATCCTGGCTTCAGTTCATTCTGTGTCTAACCTAACCCAGACCATCACTTTACCCTCTGCCAGTGCTGTCAGCTTCCTGAACTCTTGTCTTTCAATCTTACTCTGCTTATAGACATCCAATCCTGAGTTGATATAATCTCTGAGCTCTGACACCAGTGTATCTGAGCACTGCTGGAAAAAATGACACAATCATTGGAATTACTGTTCAGAAGTATTTTTATATGTTTCTGGTCAACTCCCTCTCCTAGTCCTCAAACCACCTCTTTTTAGGCTGCCTACACCATCTTTCTGTTTCAGCAGAAACAGACATATTATCAGTACATAATTTTATTTTCATATTTACAGAGATGATTTTGATTTTCACATATACATTCTTTCAACTCTTTGTTTCCAAGTTCATTATCGCCATCCAGTCCTAATTCAGTTAATACATCTGAAGTGATTGGAACAATGCCTGGCAAATAGTAAGCATTATTGTCATTATTATCATGTCATTAGAGGACATCAAAAGCAAATCCCTCTAGTTGTGTTTTAGTTCCCACTGCCTCCTTTCTCTTTTGGAAATTAGTTCTATCAAGTTAGTCTCTGTCAGTCTCTTCAACTCTTCTCTCTCCCTTGAAGCATATTAATATGCTCAGATCATATTAATTTTATTCTTCTTACAGTTTTATTGAGATATAATTGACAATTTTAAGGTGTAGAGCATAATTATTTAATTTACATCATGACATGATTTCCATAAGAAGTTTAGTGAACACTGATAATCTCATATAGACACAAAATTAAAGAAATAGAAAAAAATTTTCCTTGTTAGGAGAACTCTTAGGATTTACTCTCTTAACAGCTTTCATAGATAACATACAGCAGTGTTAATTATATCTATCATATTGTACATTATATCCCTTATATATTTATAGAATATAAATATTATATATATTTATAACTGGAAGTTTTGTACCTTTGACCAACTTTGTCCAATTCCCGCTCACTCTACCCCAGCCTCTAGTAACCACAAATCTGGTCTCTTTTTCTGTGTTTGTTTATTTGTTTTTGAAGTATAATTGACCTACAACACTATGTTAGTTCCTGATGTACAACATAGTGATTCAATATTTCTATGCATTTCAAAATGATCACTACGATAAGTCTGATTACCAATCCATCACCATATAAAGGCATTATAGTATTATTGACTATATTCCCCACACTGTACATTTAATACCTGTGACTCATTCATTTTGTGACTGGAAGTTTGTACCTCATAATCTCACTCACATATTTCTCTCATCCTTGTATCCCTCCTGCCTTCTAGCAACCACTTGTTTGTTCTCTGTATTTGCGGTTCTGTGTTTTGTTATGTTTGTTCGTTTGTTCTGTTTTTTTAGATTCCATATAAGTGAAATCATACAGTGGTTGTCTTTCTCTGTATGACTTATTTCACATAAGCTAATACCTTCTGGGTCCATCTATGTTGTTGCAAATGGCAAGGTTTCATTTTTTATGGTTGAATAATATTCCATCATATATACACATATACATGTGTGTGTGTGTGTATCACAACTTCTTTATCCACTCATCTATTGATGGGAACTTGGGTTGTGTCCATATTTTGGCTATTACGAATAATGCCGCAGTGATCACAGACATACATATATCTTTCTGAATTAGTATTTTTGTTTTCTTCATATAAGTACCCAGAAGTAGAGTTCCCAGGTCATGCGTGCATGCTAAATCAGTTCAGTCATGTCCAACTCTTTGCCACCTTATGAACCATAGCCCACCAGGCTCCTCTGTCCGTGGGGATTCTCCAGGCAAGCATACTGGAGTGGGTTGTCATTTCCTTCTCCAGGGAATCTTCCCCACCCAGGGATCAAACCTGAGATTTACGTCTCCTGCATTGGCAGGCAGGTTCCTTACCACTAGTGCCACCTGGGCCAGGTCATAGGCTAGTTCAATTTAAAAATTTTTGAGGAACCCACTGTTTTTCATAGTGGTTACACCAATTTAAATTTCTACCAACATCTCTACCTCACTAACATTTGTTATTTATTGTCTTTTTTATAATAGCCATTCTAAGAGGTGAGAGGTGATTTCTCATTGTGGTTTTGACTTGCATTAGCTCTTATTAAAATAAAAAGACAAATCTTCCTTGCAACTATTGCCTGTAACTCTTGTCTTTTCATCTCAGTTAGGATTTTTAAAGGTATGATTTTTTAAATTTGTGTGTTCATGCTAAGTTGCTTCAGTCTGTCTGACTCTTTGTGACCCCATAGACTGTAGCCCACCAGGCTTCTCTGTCCATGGGATTCTCCAGGCAAGAATACTGGAATGGGCTGCACTTAAATTAATGCAAATTTCATAAAGGAAATTACCATATTATAATCATTTGACAATCACCGCTCAACTGAAATATTTACTAAATTAATTAATATGTCAATTTTCTTAGGAGCCAGAGATCAAATTGCCAACATCCATTGGATCATAGAAAAAGCAAGAGAGTTCCAGAAAAACATCTACTTCTGCTTTATTAACTATGCCAAAGCCTTTGACTGTGTGGATCACAACAAACTGTGGAAAATTCTTAAAAAGATGGCAATACCACACCACCTTACCTGCCTCCTGAGAAATCTGCATGCAGGTCAAGAAATAACAGTTAGACCTGGACATGGGAAAATGAACTGGTTCCAAACAGGAAAAGGAGTACATCAAGGCTGTGTATTGTTACGCTGCTTATTTAACTTCCCTAGAGAAGGAAATGGCAACCCACTCC